CTGGTGAATGGGTCTACGACCTTCTTCTTTAAACCCTTCTTACCCTTGGATAATCTCTTATTCTTACCAACAGCCATGACTACAGTTTTATAATTAGATAAAGAAGGAGTCTGTTAACGTTTGAATTTGCTTGGAAAATTTTTCAATATTTTTCACCAAAATTTTCGCGAACTTGAAAATTGGCGAGTAGGGGAGTGTGTGTAGTGAGAGTTAGTGAGTAGAAGGGATTGTGTGCAGTGAGAGTATGAGCGAGGAGTGAGAGTAGGAAGAGTGGAAGAGTGGAAGGGAAAGGAAGGGAAAGGAAGGTAGCAGAGGAAAGTGGAGGAGAGAGTGGTGGGTATAGGGAGGTGAAGGGAGACACGAGAAGGTGTGTTGCTAGGGGGACTTTGGTGGTTGGTGCCTGTGCTGTGGGGACGAACCTGCTAGCGAGAGAGCGACCCTGTAGCGTATCGTCAGTATTCGCACCCGCTAGCACAAGCTGGAGCAAGGGAAGCCTAGTGGGGGAGATAGAAAATCCAAGATCACCGTATGCAGTTCGTCGAAGAGAGGGTTGTGAACGATGAGCCGCACTTCAGTTCCAGTTAAAAGATGGGTAGCAGCTAGCTTAACAGTGTGCTCAGTGTGTATCCTGTTTGGTTTTAGTTACACTATTGTTCTGTTACATTGTAGACTCAAGCGCCCCGTTCATTTGGGACTAGATCTGCCAGCAGTGATGAGCTTCGATGCTGTGCTTGCTCTACAGTATAGTGTTCATTGTGCCACCACTACCCTCAATATCAAGTAGTGCACGTGATACGGTGACTGGCAAAAATAACATCACGTGCTCTCTTGTAAGGTGTAGCCCGCGCGAAATGTAAACAATCAACCTTCCCACATTAAGGCACCTACAACACGATACGGTACGTATCAGAACTCACTGAAAGACCAAGTCATCCAGATCAAAGATGAGAGACGGGGCCCCAATGGAAGACCAAAATAACCAGTACGTATTATGTGCAAATTATAGAGTTAGTGATTCCAAAGTAGAGGAGCGCAATGAGGTAACCTACCAGCGCTCATAGTGCGGAGGTCACTGCGAGTGTTGATCTAAATGATGGTATTACACTTGGATGTATGAGAGATACAAACCAGCTAGGAGAGTAGAATTGTGACATGTACTAACAAATTTAGAGTAGCTCTTAAGATTGGTCTTATTGGAGATTCGCAGATAGGTAAAACATCACTCATGGTGAAATATGTTGAAGGCTCGTTTGACGAAGACTACATTCAAACATTGGGAGTTAACTTCATGGATAAGAAAATCCACATTAGAAATACTACGATAACTTTCTCCATTTGGGATCTCGGCGGACAAAAGGAATTCATAAATATGTTACCCTTGGTATCGAACGATGCAGTTGCTATATTGTTTATGTTTGACTTGACTAGAAAATCTACATTGAACTCCATCAAAGAATGGTACAGGCAAGTCAGGGGTTTCAACAAGACAGCCATTCCATTTTTGGTAGGAACCAAGTATGATCAGTTTATTGATCTAAGCTTCCAAGATCAGACAGAGATTACTCAACAGGCCATGAAGTACGGGAATGCCATGAAGGCACCAGTTATATTCCTGTCTACTAGCCACTCTATCAACGTTCAAAAGATATTTAAGATAGTGTTGTCCAAAGCGTTCGATTTGAAGTTGAATTTGGATGAAATTGTGAATACAGGGGAGCCAATACTTGTATTCAAACAATAGGAAAGAGGCCAAGCGAGATGGAAACGCGTATACGTATCATCTGCCTTTAGAAAGTCATGGGAAAGCAGCAGAAGATAGCCTCAGGTAGTAGGTGGATCTGAAATTAATATTGAGGTAACTAGGGGACCAGTAGACCTCAAAAGCTAGGTGCATGTGCTCCCAATTGTTTAATTGATTATATACTCATACTTCGGTGATCTGGTTATCATTGAATATAAAATTGCATAAATTTTAAAGTACACTGTATCTAGTTTCTTATATCTTGAAAGTGTGTCCCCTCTTTGTCGGAGATGTCAATCTTCTGAACAGTGGCCAACAGGCCATGCTAGTCAACTAGCTGTAAGGCATTGTTCTTCATTTTTCTCAAATTTATCATTTTCTTACTCTCCTCCGTTGCACCTATAACTCTCTAATTCAACCCTTACCTTCAAATACCTGTTAGTTCATTGTATATGGTTCATGTACGGTATTCAAGATGTGCAACATATCTTCGCTCTTGAAATATTTAATGTCGCTGGTGCGGCTCAAAACTCGAGATATCAAACGTAGAAATTTCCACGGTACAACTCTTCAGAGCTATCAAGCATTCTACTCTACAGAACAAGCAATTGGTTACGTGGCGCCAGGTTTTGACTAGTGTTTAATTGGAGACGAAGTATGGCCAAAAGTCAACGTGATCTTGAGAGTTGGGAATTCAATCTAGAGTCGGAGAGCAGCAGCGTAGATTCACCTAGAAGGTTGTCTAGAAGAAGACAAGATACCAGTGCTGGACAATTAACTTTAAAAAGAATAAGTGATGGGCTTATTATAAAGAAGGGAACTATTATAGAAGTAAAACAGCAGGCTTCTGAAGAATCCGAAATTGCCATAGTCAAAGATGTATCGTTTGGAAATGTGAATTTCATAGATTTAGTTGTGATTTGGTTTTTGAAAAATTCAGACACCCAATCAACTGATGATGATAGAAATCAATTTGGAGAGTCAGAAATATATGCTACTGAATATAGGGATGAGATTAAGGTTAATGAGATCGTAAAAGAGGTGAAAATTGTCTCTAAAGAGGACTTTTCTCAAGGTATGGAAAATGTTTATGTGTGTAGAAAAGGTAGTGATAGTCAAGGTGAACAATTCTCTAAAGAATTTGACTTTGGAAAGTTGTTGGATATGTTCATGAATGATCCAAATGATTACATTGATTTCATCAGAGAGGAGACCGTACCAAGTGCATACAAGAAGAAAAAAGAACAGGCTAGGGAGAAGAAACCTGTAAAGAAGAAACTTGACAAACCTAACAAGGTAGACATCAAAGTGGAAGATGAGGACTCTGAACGTCTTTTATCTGATGAGGATTCAGAATTAGATGCCAAAATATCAAGCGCTTCAGATAGTGACTCGGATGAAAATCTTGAACCAGACACAGATGATGAGTATGCAAATAATAAATCCAGAAAGAGAGGTAAGGTGGCAGGAAACAAGACTCCAACTAGAAAGAAGTCTAAGCCCCGGAAGTTGAATAGGTCTGACGACGAAATAGAAGAAGACGATGTTATGAATCTTAAAGGGTCTCCTCGTCGCAGGGGGCGCAAAGCAATGTCTCCATCACCTTCTCAAGCAAAGTTACAACTTACTGATAGGAAAGTCATTAACTCCATGCTCTCGCCCTTGAAGAAAAGGTTAAGGTTGAAGGGAGATCTTGCAAAGCCATCTCTATCATCCTCTCGTGTCAAATTCCTGCCTCAGCAAAAGCTAACCGTCAAGCGTGGAACAGCGACCAAGCAAATAGATTTAATTGACGGGCCACTTTCACTAGATTCTTCCTCAGAGATTTTTAAAGAGTTGAAAGCCAAATTACACACATCGATGAGATTGTCTTCGTTACCTTGTAGAGAAGATGAATTCACTTCTATATACTTGAATTTGGAAACAGCGATCCAAGAACAAACTGGGTGTTGCGTATACGTAAGTGGGACACCAGGGGTGGGCAAAACTGCAACCATCAGAGAAGTTATCACTCAATTAAAGGAATTGATTCCCACCAATGAAATTAGAGATTTCGATTACGTTGAAATTAACGGGTTAAAACTATTAACCCCTCAAGTTGCTTATGAAATTCTTTGGGAAAAGGTCAGTGGATTGAATGTGAGTTCATCAAATGCAGCCTTGTTGTTGGAATCATACTTCAAAGTTGAAGAAGAGGATTACGATAGAAAGCCACTAGTTGTGCTCATGGACGAGCTAGATCAAATTGTAACAAAAAAGCAAAATGTTATGTATAATTTTTTCAATTGGCCCACGTACAGATACTCTAAATTGATCGTAATAGCAGTTGCCAACACGATGGATTTGCCTGAAAGAGTCTTGTCTAACAAAATATCTTCAAGATTGGGACTTAGGAGAATTCAATTCATTGGATACACGTACGAACAATTGGGGATTATTATCAAGCACAGGTTGGATATGATAAGGAACACCAAGAAAGTCGGTGGGAGAAAAGTTGTAGTGAATGAAGATGCGGTAAACTTTGCCTCAAGAAAAGTAGCCAGTGTTAGTGGAGATGCAAGAAGGGCGCTCACTATCTGTAGAAGAGCAGTCGAGATTGCTGAAAATGAATTTAAAACTATCATAAAAGATCAAGCTGAAGACGATAATACGCCTTTTCATGTTTCGATTTCTCATATTTCGAAAGCCATCAACGAGACAATCAATTCGCCCATTTCCCAATTTCTTTCTGCCCTCCCCTTTGCACATAAATTAGCATTGGTAGGAGTGTTACTTAGGATTAGAAGATCAGGTCTAGCAGAGAACTCTTTGGGAGATATCCTTGACGAAATGAAAAATTCCCTTCTCTTGCTAACATCGCAGATTATAAATCATGACGAGGTGAGCATAGTGGAATTACTATACGGCGAAGGCATCATAACCCAAGCCAATTCCAATTCCAACACTGATATGAATATTAGAGTTTTAAAGTTTAAGCTGGTCATAAATGATTTAGTAGATAGCGGAGTATTATTACAGCAAAACATAAAAGGTGAAAGACATAGATTGATTCACTTAAATGTGTCTGAGGAAGAGATAATTACAGTTTTGAAGAGAGACAAAGAGATCAATGGAATGCTATGATTCCAAAATCAATAGACAGGAAACTAAAATATTTTTAAAAATGAATGCTTTCTTCTTTGAGCAATCATCCCTCAAGCAAACCAGAAAGACACATGAAATGTTCCGGTAGTTGTTCATCGTGGTGGTATATATGGAACACTAATGGCTGCAATCTTGCAGCATTGTTATATGCACACCATATGCACTAACAAAAAAAAATATTACATAGGCATAGAAGGGCATCGCACAGCTCATCGAATACAAAACATAAACCCCATTCTAGTATCGTGGTAGTTACTTGGCAAATAGTTTTATCTCGTAAAGCAATATGTCTGTGTCCATTGATCCCAATGACTACGTTGAAGCTCCCGAAGGAGTCACAAACTTAAAGTTCAATGATGCCAAAAGACAAGCTAAATTTGAACTTGGAGTCTGTATGGCAGTATACAAATGGGAAGAATTAAATACGGCTGTAGAAAACTCCTGGGGAGGTCCAAACTCAGGTGAAAAAAGGGACTGGATCTCTGGAATTGTAATAGACTTATTTGATGATAAAATTGTAGATATAGCACTTATAGAAGAAACTTTATTGTATGCAATGGTTGATGAGTTTGATACTGAAATCGATAACGATTCTGCGTTGGAAATTGCTGCATTAATTTTCAAATTCTTCAAGGATGTGATGGTTGAAAAATATGATGGGATAGATCAATTGTATGCTAAATGGGAAGCAAAGAAGAACTTGAGGACTCAGAATTCCCATGTTGTAGTAGGCTCTGATCCAAATAACCCCTCTGATGACGATGAAGAAGACGATGATGAGGAAGAAGAAGGTGATGAAAATTTAACAAGTAGAGGCAACGTAGTTGAAGAATCCATGGATGTCGATGAACCAGCAGGACCAATCGTCGATGATGATGGGTTTGAAATGGTGCAGAAAAAGGGTCGCCGTGGTGGTAGGCGTTAAACTGAGTGTACATAGAGTGTAGATCATATTAACAAGAACAATTAAGTAATAAGTTATATGCTTTATTATGTAATCTATGTAAATTTTTATCATCTACTCTTGTGTTGAAATTGAATTTCTAGGGGTTGCATCGTTTGACCGATTCATTAAATTGAGCGAATGAAGTGACGAGACTGAGCTTCGTTTCAGGAAGAACTCACCTTGTTCTTCAATTGGAGTATTAACCAATGAGCCGCCGCCAAATCCTCCCACCCCATTAGATTGATTAGATGATATACTAGTCCTGCTATTATTATTATTCAATCTAAAGTCACTAATTCTCCTAGTAACTTCAGGGATCATTCGAGGGGTCGTAGGAGTACTATTGTCTCCACCTTCACCGATCTTGATTCCAGGCCCAATTGTCGGACTTTCATTACCATTATTGCTTCCCAATGCTGCTCCATGCCCAGCTCCCACAAACGCAAACTTGGTATTCAATGTTGATAAAAACGATTCTTGTTTCATGGACTGAATCTTGAAGAGTATTATTGAAGTTTGAGACCAATGGTTTGTTGAAGTCAAAGCTCTACTTACGAGTTCAACAACCTTTTTGGATTCATCAGAAGTACCGTCTTGTGTGTTTACAGCTGAATTAGATGATGAAGATGTCGATGTCCAGGAAGATATTTTTGTAAAGCTTGCAATTGATGCGCTGATATTTTTCACAATCTTATAATTGTTGTTACCTGTGTATACCCTTACATTATCCACTGTGTTGTACACATTTCCATATAACAAGGAAAGGTACCAACCAAGTGAAAGATAACTCCAACTAAACTTAAGAGTTTCAATGGGGGTTTCCGGAAGAAAGTCAAAATTAATTTGCCTCTTATTTTCCTGTATTAAGGCGTCGAAATCAGTCGCTTCAATATGCTTTATCAATGTGTACGTATCTATTGATGAAGAAGTAGAGTCATCTCTAGTAGACCAAACTTCCTTCAATGCAACTTTAAGATGGGGAAGAATGATGGTAAGGATAATCCTAAGTGAGTCATTTCCGCCCCAAGATCTTTTTAATGGAGCGTCCATTGGGAGCTTCTCCCTAGCCTTTGACGACATACCGGTGGGCAACTTTGGGCGAAGAGCTAAGTCAATAGACAGATTGGATCGATTTCTAAACGGAAGTTCTGAAGGTGGTAAACTTGTGTTGGATTGAGAATACAGGTCGTTATTGTATATTGAGCCGTTGCTGTTTGTACGCCCGACTTCACTACCAGTTTCATTAGCTGCTGAAGCTCCTTCATTATTTTCCTCAAATTCATCAAATTCTTCTTTTACGATTAAAGTGTCACCACTGAAGTATTCGCTCTTCATGCTGTAAATAGTATTCCAAATCAAATCGTATCCCTTTTCGTTTTTTAAAATATTAAAAAGGAGCATTCTGGACGGCCTAGGGTGCTTAATAATAGCAGTGCAGACAGATCTCACCACCAAGGCCAATAGATCAGAGTGGTATGACTTTTCAAATATGAATTTCTTAGTGGAAAATTTCGTCACAACTTGTGTGATCAAAACACAAGTGCCATAGTTTAGTCCCCCCGACGGATTTGGAGACGCAAGGGTCTCGTCTTTGGTCTTTTTCAGTAGATGCTCTGGCCACGGCTCTTTTGAAACAACAGGAATAAGGTTGTACAATATTTCTACAAGCGATGTGATGTAAAGGTCTGAATTAGCACTGGGTACTAGTTGAGACAGATTTGTGAGCAAAACACATATTTGCGAAACAGCAACATCCCTCATTGTTGTTGGGGCTGTAGAACATTTGAAATGGTTCGGGAAGTTAGAATAGATTTCCATATCAATAGGCTGGCATAATTTTTCTGTTAATGTGATGTCAGATGATAAGTATAACATAAAATATGTGCATACTCTTATGAAGTTTTGTAATTGGGGGATATTGTGGTAGGTGTAAATATGATAAAGTAGTAATATAAAGAGCTCATTCATAAACTTCTCTTTTATAAGCTGCTTAAAGTTTTTGTTGCACTGAAAAAGTTCCCATAGTAACATGGTTACCTCAGAAATCCAACAAGGAGGAGAGGTACTAGACGCACCACCTCTTCCGTATGAAGGAAAGGATAAACTATCCTCAGAGGTCTTAGCCAAATCCATTGGATTTCTTAAAACATTCATGAAGTACGTTGCTATAAAGTAAAGTTCACTTTCTTTATGAAGTTTACCAAAATAAACTCTAGCCAAATTTGCTGCCAGCTTACCCTCTTCAAGAATTCTATAATCGTATAAAAACTGAATTTTATCTTGGGGTGGTAATGGAAATACTATCATGATACAGAGCAATTGAATAGAGTATGCCACAAACAAATGTCTCATCTCTGTCAACAGAGAATTGGAATAACTCAAGGAATTTTTGTCATTTGAAGTTCTGGCAGCTCTGCAAACCACGTTTAGCAATGAACACACTAGTGTCAAAAGCTGGATTCTTGGGGTAGTAGTTACTAAGAATATTAAGAAGCGATTTCCTTCGGCAACTATTGAGGTAGTAGGGAGATAAAAAGATTGCGATAAAAGTGTCAATAAGAGTCTTAAGGTCTCTGTCCTGTTGGACTCTATTATCAAGTTTGGTGGACTATACTTGGAATTAGAAGATCCAATCCCACTTTCCCAAAGTCGAAATGCCACCGGATCCTCTGAATCTGTTTGCTGATAATTGCTATTCCGTCTATCTATAGTGAACCCCTTGTAGAAGAGTAATTCCAAGATTTTGTGCATCAACCGAACCGCCAAAAACCTGGTCAGATCCTTAGCTACATCGCTCAGCTCATTCTTGGCCCCACCCTTGCTTCCTGCAGTATATCCCATGAAATCCATTGCATTAAACTCGTCACACCAGAAGAACTTCCTTTCCAAGGCTTCATCTTTTAATTCGAAAAATAGTGGTAACACTTTAGATAACCATCTCATACAATTTAAAACTTCCTGTACATTCAACCGCCCCACGTCACCAGTCAGAGAAGAAGTAGCTCCTGTGTTCTGTTCTTCTGTACATAATTTAATTATCAAAACCCTCAAAAATGTTACAAAGTTAACTATGTTCTGGTCCCTTACGCTCTTAATGTCCTGCACTGTAAACAACTCAAATATGTCGTTGGTTGTCTTCGGTATCTGCCAGAACACTCTCCAGAATGTCTCATCATCAGATGAAAATACTCTACCTTGACCAAGCTTGAAAAAATGAGTTTTGAACCGTGTTCTTTCCTCAGCAGTTCTCATCATAGTACAAGTCCACCAATGAATGAATCCTGGAGACTAAAGTCAAGCTCAAATTATCCTATATTGACTTGTAGATATGTACAGTCTAGTTGAGGGTTGTCCGTCTTTAGATTTTCATTCGTTTTCATTGTATGCGCAAAAAGTACGATCAGAGCCGCGCCGCACAGCAGCAAAACAGAGCGGAGCCATTTACCTTTCGGACCAGAAGATAGAGAAGTGATAAACAGCTTGTATAGCTGGATTTCTGTGTGTACATATTCATTTTCAATCTCTATACCTAGCTTTTTAAAGGAATCGTGTAATAATTTCTGATGGTTGACTAAGTTCTCTCTCGTAGAGAAATGGTGAAATTTCAGAACTCATGGGTTTGCACCCAAAAAGCATTGGTACGGGAAGCAACGACACCTAACTATATGCTGCATGGGCGGGAGTACACAATAAATGACTAAATATTCTGTAAGTATGACCCAACTAGAACACAAGAATGGCAGCTAGTGGTATTTAGAAATATCTAGAAAGAAATGTTGATAAAAAAAAGTGACTTGCTAGCAAATACACTAAACTTTTGCTAGTTCAAGTATGTGTGGAACCCAATGAATTTGAAACGGAGAGTCCTTTACATATTCAATGTTCTTCGAGGCATTTGTAGCAGAGACTTCTACTCCATATTTAACGTGTTCGTTACGCAATAGGGCCTCAAAGTAAGTGAAGCTTATAGGCTGTGTAAATATGAAACATGTAATCAGTATTAACCATTCCTTGGTAAGGTAAGACTAAATGATGTAAGTCACGTGATAAAACGCCCATCAGAGCTATCAGCTACGTTATGAAAAGTGTCTCACTTAACTCTTATTTACCTAAGACTCTTCAAATTGTGTGAGAAAATTTACTACTTCCTCTCACATAAAAGTCCAGTTACAAATTAAATCTTTCAAAATTGAGTGCTATAAACAGTCTATCATGTTCCAAAATACTCCTCTGGACTATTTATTGAGTTCACTATAAACAGGAAGCCAATTAAGGGGAATTTCAAAATTGCCTGTCACATTCAAATCGTGTACCCCCCCCTTTGGTTTTGACCATTTTTTTCAAATTTGCATCCTTGAAATTTTGGTTCCAATTTTTTTTGAGAAGTCCGAAACTTGTTTAATTTGGCGATTTACATATTGAACACGTCCACGACCCTCATATTGAACAGAAAACGACCTTCATGTTACACAAACCCCATTTGTGGATAAACCACAAACCAAAGAAAATATTTTAGAGGTTTCAGAAGGCCATGCATTCATACTACAAATTCCTTCAAACGATAATCTTCTCAAGAAAAAAGAGAGCTTCTTTTTTCTTGAGAAGATTATCGTTTGAAGGAATTTGTAGTATGAATGCATGGCCTTCTGAAACCTCTACCCCTGTGGCTCTGTTTCTCATCCTATGAAGTTGAAACTACGTTAGATGTTATAGTTACGTCTCTAGCTAGATGATGGTATACTTAGATGTGTTGATTTCTTTCTTTCGAATATTGTCGTTGGTCTCTTTGTGAACATTGGATTTCACAGACAGCTAGGAGGATATCCCATACTTGTTGTGTATACCTGTAAGTAGCCCTCATCTCTGGCTTGCTTGTCATGCAACTTTCAGTCATTTTACCCTGGGTTTGGCTGAGCTATTGGCATCGTTATCTATTCTGGTTGTATTTCAAGGTCAATTTTGGCTCTTTTGCTTGTTTCAGCCACATATAGAGGTTACAAAAAGAAAATGGCACTATTTAACGTTAACTTTTCATGCAAGGATTCACCTTAAAACATGCCAGAAACATGTGAGAAGTATTACATCTTGGCACTTTTATAAGTAGATAAGGAGTAGAAACTACCAATAACCTTACTGAGCTTTTACTTACGCCGATAGGGCAGACGTTTCTTAGGAGAGAAGGACTTTTGAGTCAATGGCTGCAATTTGGTTCTATATGCAGTATTTGCAACCATTTTAAGATATATCATTCCTGCAGGTAGTCGATTTGACAAGCTTAGAGAGTAACGGGCTGGCCCAAAAAGGCTAATTCTGTTGTAGATAGTTGATGAATGAGCAGTATTCAATAGCACAAGCTGCTGTCTATCATCAACAACATTAATTCGAGCATTTCGAAATACAGTGTTGGAAAGTTCTACGCATTCGTTGCACCCATATACTTACATTCCATTTTGATGATATTGGAGAGGTGTAAATTGAGACACCATCAAGTGTATATATTATTTTCCAGTTTTTATATATTCAGTAAGTAACCATTACAATTGTCACGATCTGAGATGTAATAGATAGTTACACTGCATGGCAATCATGCAGCTTTAGGTGTGATATTTGTTCTGTGAGTATAGGAACGAAATTGTCCTTTAATTGATTACCATTATTCATTAATTGCGTTAACTCTTGACCAATGTCTGGAAATAGAGGGAATTAAATAATTTCGTGCTGATTACCAATTAACCCGGTGCTCCGTCCAACCTATCAACCTGTACTACTGGACATCTGTGATTTGCACTTGTGGTTCGTGCTAAGGTGGCAGAAACAGCATATGGCCGTTAATCTTCAATATTCTAGGCAAGATGAGTCAGGGAAATATGAACTCTTCACTTAGGTTTACCTATGAAAGATACTGCGTCTATATTATTAGCGCACAGGTCCTGACTCACTCATTTTCTCTTTCGTTTTGACTCTACCTCGGCGTTTTCACTATTTCTTCTAACAGTTCCTGCAATTGATCCGTACCCTACATCAACATCCATTCCAGCTTCTCCCTCTAAAATGGGCTCTTGTTCTCCCAAATCATCAGCATCTCCCTGATTCAACCAAGAGTCTGGAACATCCGGTACTACACGATCGATGTCATCATTCCCAGTATACCAGGTAGTGGGTTCGCTTTCTTCAGCTTCTTCATCATCGTCGAAATGATTTGCGGAACATCTGGACATTGCTTCATAGATGCGTTGCACTGAAGATGAACTGTACCAGCTTGAATTGTTTTTATCTTGGAACAACGAATTACTTTTGATATCTACTTCTACATTTCTTATAGTTAGCTCTACAGTGAGATCATAGTCTATGGGCAACAGCAGGTGGCTTGGGATTGCTTTCAATATCTCATTGCTTACCACTTGAAGGTATAATTTATCACCCTGCAAAGCATGTAGCGTTATGCATTGGTATGGGAACTCAATTCCTATGTCACTCTCTTGGAACCAAATTAAAAAGCACGTGTTTAGCACAAACAAAGAGACTATGCCTTCAAATTTACCTAGAGGCCCACTAGAATCAGATACGGAGTCTGATTTTGTCACTGAAGTTGCTTTAAGTCTCTTGTCTACCACAAGTTTCACAGTTGGATCATTTTCAAGTATCTCCAAGTAGTAACTTTCTCCTCCAGCGTACAATATCAAGTTATCTTCCTCCTCTGAAGAGAATTTTTCAGGGCTGGAAGACAAATACTTCTTAACCGGTATTGTGTTCTCGACATTTGGCTGTTGAAATACAAAATGGGGACTGCGCATGCTGCCGAGTCGGTCTACAGTTTATGGAAACGATCAGTGAAAATTTGATTAGGTTAGCTTGGTATTTCTTGAAACGTAAATTAAGCTAGTTTCTCGAAGCTTTACATAAAACGAAAATAGACAAAAAAAAAAGAAAAAATAAAAAAAAAAAAAAAAGAAAACGAAAACCTTAAAACCATGCAAGGTAAAATACGAGATACGAAGAAAATACATCAACAAAGTAAATGGCTGTAGGTGGGGTTTAGAAGGAAAAACCTGCTTCTTCTCACAGTTGGAACTGACAGATGGTACTATATCTTTGTCTTCCATGGAGTTGCTAAGGTTACTGTGAATTTGGCTACATGGAAGTCTACATTTGTTTCGTTGTTCGATGGGTTCTCATAATCATCATATCATTTAGCCTTTAGTCTTTTTCCAACAATAATATTCTATCAAATCCAGAAGAAGTCTAGGAAAGGGAGACGCCGAAGTCCAAAAGCCTGTATTCAGACTAGCTCCGAAGTGCCCAATCTCTGCTCCAATAACCTAAGAACATGACTGCTCAGTCCAATTACCTCGAATTGCGAGTACCGAGTCCAATTTTCAGCAACGTTCCTTATGGAAGTCCATGGGGTAATTATTATTTTCCCTCACTAAACTTCATTTACCTTAACTTAACTTTGTGACAACCTTCTTATAAGCCTTTGTAGTACAGGACCGTTGTTCTGTGCATTGTCAATTTCTTTTTTCAATAACTCTGACTTTTCCTCTTCACGCCTTTTGATTTCATTAGAACTAGGTGGAAGCGCTTCATTCTTAAGATCAGCTTTCTTGGCCTCTTCAAACGATGAAATTGTACTTTTGAGACCTTCAGAGCCGTGGAGAAGTGATCCCTTAGGAAGGACACCAGCATTAAGAGACTTAAGATGAGCAACGCTTTCAGACTCTTGACGAAGAACAGAGTACATACGTGATACACGTCCAATGGCAATGACTTTATTACGGAGAGCGATTCTCTTGGCTTCATATTCTGAAATTGGTTCTTTTGGTTGTGGTGGTCCTACAGGTGTTGGTTTGGTTGGCTCGACAAATGAAACTGCAGGTGCCTTTCTACCTGGAGCCATTGCAGAATTGCTCTTTGCTGCCTCAACTGGATCAAAAGCTAAGCTAGTATCCTCACCTAATTCCTCTTCGGTACAAATGTTCAATATACTTACTAACATATCAGTGACTTTCTCTCCAACGAAAGGTAGACTCCAGCTGAAAACGTCCATGAAATTTGGTAACCAGTAAGGATGTGGGCTTGAATTGAACTGCCTTATGTTCATCACATTATTTTCATATTTCAAAACAGCAGCCTTGTTACCGTAAGTGTCCAAGTAATTCGGCGCACTGAACATGGTCAATAAAGAAGGGAATCCCATGGTTTTCGTTCTCTTATACATTCTATACCCCATGTCTTGAGCCTCGTGTGCTCTGATAATGGAAAGTAATCCAGTTCTTTCTAAAAATTCACATGATGCCTTATAAGTAAAAGCGTACAGACAGCCTCTAACCGAATTCCTGATAAATGATTTGCCATGGCGATCCTCCTCTTCATCTTTTTCGTCGTAATCTTCCACAGGATCAGCCCAAAGCAAATCACACATTAATCCCTTTGTGGGTGGTTCCCTAAACCTGTTAATTTTGACTATATCGTCTAATGACTGAAGGTCAGGGGATATTCCACCGTGCACACAGAAAAATTGCTTGTTCATTATAGCTGCTAAACTCAAAGCGTTGAACAGTTCAAGACATGACTCGTAGACATCCATATTGTACTTATGCAACACTTCCAGCTTGAATGTGAAGTATTCGGTTAGGTGCTTACATTCATGGTTTCCCCTAAGAAGCCAAATGGAGTCTGGATAGTTCAATTTCAACGAGTACAAGTAGATGAGACACTCTATAGAAAACGAACCTCTATCCACATAGTCTCCAAGGAAAAGGTAACTGGTCTTGGAGGGTTCTCCACCAACTTCGAAAAGCTTCATCAAGTCGAAAAACTGTCCGTGAACGTCACCACAGACCGTTATTGGTGCAGGAACTTCAAGCAAATTTGGCTCCGCAGACAACGCCCTAATAGCCATCTCCAAAATTCTGAGGATCTGTGGAATTCTTAGACGTCCTTCATTGATGAAATGGTCCTTGAGGAATTGAACGTTTGGGAGTCCGGTGTACTGGTCAAACAACTGTTCATCTGTAGGTTTTTTGGTTGCAGGTGGCGGAACCGTACTTACTGCTCTATCTACTGTGGAGTACGACTCACCATCATCTGTAGTGTAAAGCGTGGGGTCCTTTTTGGCGCTGCTTACCTCAATTGTAGGTTGACTGGTCAATTGCTTTGGCGGATTCTTGCTTTCCAATGCTCGAAGAGCGTTGGAAATCTTATTAGAATTTTCGACTGCAACTTTATCTGACATTCTATGCTTGTGTAAGGTGTGAATATTTTAATGGAAAGAGCAGAATGGGGTTTTTACGTATATAGTTTGAGCTTCAGGTTGCTTCCCGTTGGGAGACGTTGTGCTTTTCTTTTTCTTATTTCTTCAACTGTCCGGAGTCCTGTGTGCAGGACTGTTAACTGGGAGTATCGCGCACGTAAATGAAGATTTGTGAGGAATTTGCTGGGGAATTTAGACGAAAATTCCAATGCAGCTAAAGGGATCTTGGTATGGAATGAAGATAATTGGACAGCGAGTAAGTCATTGAGGAGTATTTTAATACTTTATTATCATCACGGCAAGCAGTTAGCCGCTCGGCTTACGTTTTACGTGAAAAGTGTGGGCTTGGGTGATATAAGGTTGTCTCTGATACAAACGTCAAACTTTAATCTGCACTGATCATCCAAATTACCCAGAAAAAAAAGACTGCGCATCGTCGTGAGCCAGAAATAGATATGAGCCTTCGGTGAAAGTGGAAGTGTTTCTCAGTCAATGGAAATTGATCGGCCCAGCGAGATAAATCTAGAAAGGTTAGTGATAATATGGCTTGGAACACTGGAGTAGTAGCGTGGTATGGCGCTTGTGCAATGAAATTGAGTGGTTCACCTCTGAAAGTCGATGTGGGGTATATTTTGCAATCTCTTTAGGTGTTCTTGCCTTTGTTTTTTGGCGCATTATTTTCCAGGCTTAGGGTGCATTTTGCACCCAACTGTAAAAAGGTACACTCCACCGTGTTGATGTAATAGAACGGCTTAGGTGGAAAATCAGCCAAAATATTTCTTTGGTACGTGTCCAGTAAGTTTCCTATCTATTCTCCTGGACAGCTAGGGGCGTTAAGCGCTTGATTTTACTTGTAGTGCTTGAATTGATCAGACCGTTTTTCTTCGTCATCAGACTTCGGAGCGCCCTAATTGACTGCGACGTACACCCATACTAATCATTCATACGAGAAAAACTGATACTTTTCAACTTTGGTACTCACCAGAGCACCCATACATACGGGTAGTTTGCTACATGTGATACGATATTTGCTTTGTAGCATTTTTATTCTAAATCTAAACAACATATATAATTAATTAATTTTATAGTTAGCCTCTTGGGTTAACTTTTTTCTTTCTGATTCATCCACATTTTTCAGTTCATGAAAAAACGTAAATAACATTGGCTACCCCTTTAAACCCGTTAAATGAGGTCGAAGCAGCCGAAGTGTAAGCACCTAGGTGTGGAAAATATAACCAGTCACCAACCTGAACATCTCTTGATAGCAAACTCTTGTTACTAACACAATCTAAACCATCACAAGTAGGACCCCAAATCGAAAATTCAAATCCGGAACCGTTTTCCACTGCGGCTCTTTCGAATAAGAACTCCTTTCCGTGAGATAATACGTGCGGAGCAGGGACCTGGTGGTCAAACAAAATACAATTCATATTACCGTATACCCCATCGTTAATGTAAAGCAAAGGTGGAACATCTCCAACCGAGTCTCTACGAGCAATGACATTAGTGGCCAATGTAAATGCTCTGGAAACCATGAATCTACCTGGTTCAGCCATAAATTCAATTCCAAATTCTCTAACAAATTCCAGTGGGAAAAACTCTTCAAGCGATTGGCTGACAGTTTTAGATGATTCTAAAAATGATTCCTGTTGGAATCCACCACCAATGTCCAAAATGGTTAATGGAGGCATTCCAAGTTCCAAAACTCTGTCAAAGATCTTCCTCGAATCACCGATCGCCTTGTAGATCGAAGTGAAATCTGTTGCTCCACTTCCAACATGAAAAGCGACTCCCTTCACAGGTAATCCTAATTCGTGAGCCAAGGGTAAAAGTTCCAGCATAGCAGTGTCTAAAGTGCAGCCAAATTTGGTTGATAATCTACATTGAGCAGTCTCATCATCTGTGGCAATTCTAATCAAAATACCACAACTAGGGTGGAACTTGGCTAACTTGAACAACTCGTGTGAATTATCAACAGTTGTTAACTGGATGCTGCATTCGCGAGCTCTACGAATATACGAATTCGTCTTACAAGGATTGGCATAAACAATTCTTTCCGGTTCAATGCCCAAGTCTAATACCGTCTCAAATTCTTGCTTGGAGGCACAATCGAAATTGCAACCCAACTTTGCCAATCTTTTAATAACTTCGATATCGGTGTTGCATTTAACTGCATAAAACGGTTGCACATTTGGAAGTCTATCTTTCCAAAGCTTATATGCACGACCAACTTCACCAATATCTGCGACAAAAAATGAATCTTCTTCTCCTGCATCGCACGAGTTGCAATCAATAGATGAGACTTGATTGAGTAAAGCATTGCCAACAGTTAGTCTAGCATCAACTGGAGTCGATTTTAGAAGAGTAGAATTTCTAAAGTTCAATTGATCATTAGTTGAAGACGAATATAATCTTTCATGATCAAATTGAATTGGAACTTCTTGCTGTACAATGGATGGAGCCATGGAATAAATAGATTGAGGTAATACTGTACTGTATATAGTAAATAAGCTAAGTACGGAAAATGTGGTACAGTACTTTTATGATGCTTGTAAGGTGTGCCTTCAAGGTAGGGGATTGGAATTGGCTACCTAGGTGCGCTTCGGCTTTTTCTCTATGTCCTTTACAGGTTAACAAAACTCACTGGAGGTGTGAGTTAAAATTTTCAGAAACTTCAAGCGGCAGCTCTCGTGTTTGTAGGTGCAATTTCTAAGGGAGGTCGAAATTGCGGTTTACGGTGGATTTTAGCAGAACTAGTAAGAAAAGTTCTAAAAAAAGCTAATTTATATACTAAATTTTCAACAAGGAAAAGAAAGGGATATATATTTAAGTAATATTAAGTGTCTATTTCAAGAGCAATTCTAACCAGTTCAGATTAAAATTTTTCATTTCTTGATTTTGTGTCAGCCTGAGTCAAAGCTGAAAAATAATTACGATGCAGGTGCGCAACGGTTTGCTGACTCTTGGAGTCACATGAATCGTGCTGCAATAGAGTGTGATTCATTATATTATTGAGAGGGGCAACCAAATGGAAGCTTTCAGGGTTTCACAAGAGAGGGTAATGGATAAATATTATATATAATTCAAACAATTGCTGCTCCTCGATACATGTCAAAGAAAGAATCTGCCTGGTCTTCTCGTCTACAGGATCTGTTTTAGAAGCCGCACCTAAATAATAATTTGGTGGTGCAGCATACTCTTCGCGTAGTAGATTATTCTCCACATTGAGGGTTCAACCCTCTCTCAATGGCATAATGTTGATGGATACTTGCAGTTGCTAGATTCGTGAAATAGAGATACTTTTAACCATTATACTAGTTACGGCTATAACCACTGCTGTATTGCTACGATAGTGCTTTCACCGTTCGAAGGATGCGCTGGCTGCAAATTAGGTTCTTGTAATAGACTTGGAACTTAATCCGATGTTTACTGATTATACTCCCGTTATACTATTCCCTTTTACTATTCCGTTCTACAATTCTCTTCTACGCTCCTTACAGTCAAGTATTATAATCGATTTTATTTAATGCAATGGTCATTGGTAACTTGAACCCTGTACTACATTCATTCAAAGTCTTACTTACAATTCAATGAGCGGCTCTTCAGCATATAGCTTCTGGCTCTGACTACTTTTGATCCTTTCTAGAGAAGGCAAACCTGATATTGAAGGTAAAGCATTCGCTTCGTGGTGAGTATCTCCATCAACTTTTGGTTCAATGTCAGAAACGGGGGGAAATTTGGCAGCAACCTTATCCTCGTTTTCATCTTCAGGAACACTTATAGTGCTCGATGGGTAACTAAAAGGCTGGGATGGAGCTGGTTGGAGCTCTTGTTCTCCCGTTGGCGGTTCGGATGGGTTAAAGCTTGGATAAATCTGTGTAGATGAAGAAGATTGCTGCTGTTGGTAATAATCTACCTTAGGGTATGGGCCAGTATTTTCTTGGCTTGCTGGTGGATTACTAACTTCAGTCCCAGGAGGGTAGCTTGGAGTAGAATTGAAGGTAGTTTCAGGCATGGGCTCTGGTACTTTAGAACCAGGATAAGAACCACTAGTTCGTTGAGGTGGTACCGAATTATTGTAACCATATTGAGCATCCACTGGTGGTTCCGATTCATTTTCATTTACTGGATAGCCAGTGGATTGGCGACTTTGATAATGGGGAAGTGGTACCTGATCAGCATGTGGCTCAGGTAAAGTTTGGTTCAAAGGATATCCCGTAGATTGACGGACTTGGTAGGGAGAACCTTGTTGAATTTCGATAGGGGGTTCAGATCCAACTTCTGGGACATGATTGTCGTATCCTGTAGATTGCCGTTTTTGATATCCAGAAACCGGTTCAAGAGGTGATTCAGGTAGGTTCTGACTGCCTGAGTAACCGTTAAATTGTTGCTGTGGTTGCTGTGGTTGGTACTGGTAGCCCCCCGTGGGATTTTGCTGCTGATATGAGATTTGATGGCCACCGTAAGCTTGAGCTAATTTGCTTTCCAAATATGAATCGTATAATCTTGTGATTGTAGAAATTTTATTGTTCAACTCCAAAAAGGTTTCATACTTTTCAAGACTGGCTCTAAGAGAACGGTTCAACTTTGGTTTAAACGTGATGATATTTGAGTGTAGTTCCGAAAGGTTTGTGTCGTATAAGATATTCGCTTGCTTGGCCGGATCGTTCTTGAGGTTATTCATAAGAGTTATGAAGAGGTTTATAGACTCTTCTTCCGAAGGAGAGAGGTCTTCTAACTCAGGCTGTTGATATGTTGTATGCAGGGTTTGCTGTTGTTGCTGGGGTTGGAACTGCTGCTGGTTGCCTATTTGTGAGGATTGAGTAGATTGTCCGGTAAACTGGGACAGTTGCTCAAATGGATTAGTAGGAGCTGCTTGGTTGAAGTTACTAGATGAATACTGAGATCCGGAGGGGAGTAAATCACCGTAAAAATTGTCTTCTGGCTCAGGTGGTGGAGCCAGTTGTCTTTGATATAATTCTTCTTTCTCCTTGAATTCCCTTAAGCTGGCTGCAATTGCTGCCTTCATATCTTCATCTTCCTCATCGTCTGGGGCCGATCCTTGAGGGGCTTGAGGGGCTGAAATCGGTGGTGGAGCTTCAAACTGAGGTGGTGGTCCATTAGGCCTACTCATTGGAATTTGACTCTCTCTTAAGCTCAATTCAATTGCCTTTTTCAAATCATCATCTTCGTCATCAGCCGAAGGAACTATGTCTCTTGTACCTCTCGAACGCGATGGGGCTCTCGCCTCTGATGAGCCAGTCCTGCGACGGCCCCCACCTCTCTTTTCAAAACAGTTATCACAGACTCTAACGGGCTCCATTATTCCTAGCCCAACCAAGGGCATACTCTTAGATGAGTGAGTTTGACAGAACACTCCCCCACAGCTTCTACAATGATGCTTTCTGTTAATCACTGAAAATGGACTGTAACAGATCATACACTCCTCGCCATCGACCCAATCTGGAGGAACCTCAGTATCAATAAACTCAAAGCCTTCCGTGGTGGCTTCTCCGACCACTATATTATCGGAGCTTGGGCCATACACAGACTCATCTACTTTGAAACCTTCCCGAACCAATTGCTTGTATGCTTTCTCTACTCCGGCCAATTGAAGTTGACCCTTGAAGTAAACGCTCCAATTCCTTAACAACTGGAAAATATAGCATCCTACTTCAAATTTTGCAGGATTTCCCTGTATATCTCTATCTTTGATGTTGTAGTGTATCTTGAATACATTATCGCAGAGGTAGTCTACAAATTCTGGTGTGGCGATCTCCACTAAGAAGTGGAATCCACCATTCTTAACGCATAAGTCGATCAATTGAAGAACCAGTTTTGTAAGATTTGGATTGCCCTGTACAGAGGTTAATCTCTTCTTCAATGTCCTCATACATTGCTTTGCAGGTATCTGCTTGGAACGAATGATATCGGTGATCTCAAGTGCAACAGATATCTCGATTTCTCCATTAGGTATGGAAGAGGATGTTGCCTCTTGAATTTTCGCTTCAAGATTGTTGATGGGACCGGTGCTCGACCCACTGAACCAAGACATTCTATTGCTATTCTGTTTGTCCTCTAGGGGAAATTCTGACTTGAGCTTCCTAAGTTTGAAGGAATTAAAGAGAGTCTTGGCCATAGAGGGGCAAATTGTCTTATTAATTTTGGTATTTGAATCTGTATTGGTGTGGGCACGACTGATAGTCAATGTGCAGAACGCTATTCTAGTTTTAATGTAGAGGACTTCTTCAAGTAGAGCTAACGGAAATCTTTGAAAGAGGTAGCGAAGAGGAGGCGACTGGGGTATATAATTGCAGATTATTTGCACCAAGTGGTGAATTTAATTTCCTTGTTGCACTTTGCATTTCCTTGGTTCACTAACAGGGCGTAGGTGAGAGAGGTACTTATACTTTATGCACTAGCTGCGGCTATGCATCACTAAATTTTTCAGAGATCAGCCATTGAGTCGGTAATCCAATACTTGGGTTGGTGTCACTGCCTAGATAGCATTGAAGTCGGCTGTTGTTGGTTGTGCATTTTGTAGTTGTTGGCAGTTACTTGTAGTTGTAGTCGTGTGTTGTCGGCTCTACCCTGCTCAGACTGTTCAGAAGCGAAACTCCTGTATTGTGGAAATACTTCACGCATGGTTCAAAAACTGAGACCTACCTCTGGTTGAATTATCGGCAGACCGAAGATAGAGAGTATCTCGAGTAATCCACCAAAGTCAGATTATGTGCTTGTCTGTATTTGCTTCTCATTCACTATTGATGTCTTATTCATACCTTAGGTCGCTGTAATGTTAAGGTCATTTCGTATGCTGTTTTATCCTCATGTACTATCTTCATGTACTATCTTCATGTACCGTCTTCTTGTATTATCTTTAGGTACTTCTTTTCTACAAAATATTTGAAACAGTCATCAGCATGCTACAAGATTGTATCCTAGATAAATATTATTTATTCATGCTTTTATTGATACTTTTACAAAATTTCTTAGTCTTACAAAAACACATCCTTATAATCTTTAGTATTTTTTTTTCCTTACTATGTTGTTTCAATATTCATTTTTTGTTTTCTGTTTCTGTGTGGTAGTACCGTACCTATCTATAACATTGTATGTTTCCCAAGTAGAAGTAAAACTTTTGGAGTATATGTTCAAGATTCCAATAATTTTTCCACCTGAGAGTTCTCTACATCTTCATCAGTATTCCCCTGTGTCAAATTTGTCGAACAAAAATGGTAGTCGTAAAGATGAAAGGGGAGTATATCATGCAAATCTTGAAGCACAGAAGGATAAGCAAATCCTTGCAGAATGCAATGCAAAATGGTTCATTATGCATTGAACCTGTACTTCAGTATCTGGCCCAATACCGTATATCACGCCCTCACTTCAGAATTTCTAGCGACTTAGGGTCCTTCTCTTCTTTTTAAAAATGCCCTCTGGATTGAAATTATCTAGATCATGAAAAATGATGCAGATCCAATCCCAACAAAACTAACAGCGACCCACCAGTAGAAGTCATAATTTTTTCCTGCAGTGGTCTTGACTGCGTTGGTTCTATATTGATTCTCTAATGACCTCCTGGCTCTCTTCTTCAATGAGGTTTTGGTTTCGGATGCAGAATCAGTAGGGTTTAATGCGGTGGTTGGTAACATGTTTGGAGGCTTGTAAGCTAAGTATAACGGTTGCATCTTAGATCCATCGAATTGGTAGATCTGTAAGGTCCATCTACCGTTATACCCGTCTACATAGACTTCATACGTCTTGAAAAACGTTGCCTGGACGTAACGTGAGTATACAGAAGATCCATCGTCCGTACATGGTTCTGACAAAAGCTGTCTACCGTCGACAGCAATCGGGGTGAGCACCAATGAACCATTGCTCAATAACTCATACGATCCATGTTGGTAGATCAACACGGCACTGGGGCACGAGTGGTTCTGTGGGTTCGAAGTCACCCGATACAATGCAGCTTCCCAGAACCCATCGGATGTGAATGAATATGAGATTCCTGGCAAGTCTGGTTCGATAAGAAGTTCATCCACCGGGTCGTAAAACCCAGACCCTGTGAATACTGTGTTGGATTTAGACGACCATGTTCCCTCAAGTTCGGCCATGCTGGGATCCGCCTGCACACCTCGAGCTGCGAGGGCCAAAAGCGGGACTATTATACTACTAAAAATCATGATCTATGACGTGAACGTTCTACTTGCAATCAGAAGGAAACGTTTGCGGTCTCTTTTTTTTTCCCTACCCTTTTTTCCCTGCGACTGGATCAAATTTTTGTAGCACCGAAAATAAAGAGCAAAAAAATAAAGGTAAAAAAAAAACAAGAAGTGAGTAAAAAAAGAAACAAAGGGGATGTAGGGAGTGCGTATAGAAGGCTAAGTAAAAAAGGAAAGGGAAGGGTTATTGTATCACGTGTTTTGTGTTAGATGGGGGGCTATTTTTGGAAACTGGAAGGATAAGGGCTAAGGTGGTTTGTTTTTGGCAGTTTCTGGAGGAGGAAAGTATACGGATAGTGGGAGAGGATGAGAATTGGTGAGATCTCAAAAGATGTTCATCCTGATGCTCAAGGTGCTAAAGGTGCTATATAGTTCACTCGCTTCTTGCGAAAAGAAGGAATCCGTGCAGCAGCCAGACAAGAGTGTGATAAGGATCCAATTACGTGTTTGGTCCTGTATATAGTACTCAGATGAAATATCAGCCTCGAGAGAGAGGCAGTGCTGCAATTGACGAGGTGTGGATTAGGAGATGCCGTTTGGCAGACGAGCAGCGCGATTTGGGGTAAAGGGCTGCTTCCGTCGATTAGCTCGGGGGTGCAGGGATTCTAAAGTAGCGAAAGAAATACAGAAATACAGCAAAAGAGCGAAATAGCTGGCAGCTGGTTGACCAACACTGTGCTCTGATTGACTGGCTAGGCTACTTCGCACCTAAAATAAAGTTGCGTGTGAGGCTCAATTACGCTATGCAACATTTCTCGAGAGTGCTAGGCATGGATGGATTGGGTAATGAGACACGACGCCTGTGAATTATGATGTAGATACGTACTGAGTAGATCGGTGATGACGGGCCCAGAATGAAGTAAATCAGAGAGTCAGCTGCCACTTACCAAAAAGCTCAGTTTGGCCCAAAGAGCCCCCTGTTGCAGTATCAATTGGTCTAAATTTGCTTTCTCTATTTCTCTCTGGGTGCCTTGAAGATGCTACAATGGTGCTAGCTGCAGGATGCACTTCTCTAACTCTAGCCAAGCCATATGCTTAAAGGTAACTTACAAAGACAACTTACAAAGTCCATTTGCACTGAAACGATCGAGAAATGAGACAAATTATGTAAAGCTACTGGCCTCTTCCTAATTTCTGCTCAATCTACATGTAATGGTAAACCGCTACATTGCTTGGATTATTTGTTCGCTAGGAATTCTATTAGAAGAAGTGAATATAAAACTATTAAAATGCAAATTAAAACATATAGAAACAGAGTAGTAAAATAATTTCAAATGATGTTTGTGTGTGAGTGTGATTAAGGTGATGATGATGCAAAGTTTCTATGAGATTCATCCCAAGAAGTTTTCTATGTATATATGTGAATGAGTGTCGTGTGCTTTTTATTTGATTACTTCAGTTTCTCTAACTTTTAGGTAACTTTTTTGTTGGGGGAGTGGAGGTAATGAGATTCATATTATTTTTAACTGGATTTTACTTTTAGTGAGCTATTAGAACTTATTTAATTCTAATCATGGGATGCAGTGGAGAATCGTCCTCGCTCAAAGGAGTCCCCACATGGCAGGGGTTTGCATTTGTAGATTCATATTCAAAAATTGAACCATGGTCATTTCTAGAAGAACATTGAGAATGTAAGCTTGCCTGGCTGTTGTTATGTGCGTGATTAACTATATGATGGTTAACCATGGGAAATTTTGAGTTCTGAGGAGTAAGATCTGGGAAATCATCATTGTTCCCAGAAACTCCTCTGACAGAAGAACCAGCTATTCCACTTCCAGCGTTTGATTTGAGAAGAACCAGAGGTAATACAACTGGTTCATATATTGCTTCGTTTATTGTTGGAAACGCATTGAAGTTGGAAGGGAGTTGATGTGGAGGAGGGATCAGTTGGTGTTGATGATTAGCTGACTTCTTGTAAGAATTTGTTGTGTTGATTGAAGATGCAGTGGTCCCTCCTGTTGATACAGTCAGAAGTGAAGAAAGTGTAGCAATGGATATTGTTGATGATGATGAAGTAGACAGTGTAATGGAAGTAATAGGCCTCTTGCGGATAGGAGGTTGAGTGAGTGAAAATGTGCTGTTACCACTTGGCGTAGTGGCTCCGGAGGTGTTTGACTGGAGCGATTGTGGAGAGTGGTATGATCTTAATGGCAGTGAAGACGACAGGTATCTCAATGGTGAACTTGGCGATACATTGTTGTTGAACTGGTGTCTTGGATGTTGTAAATATTCTCCAACGTTAGTTGTGTTGCAAAGGGCAATTGGCCTATTATTGTTGTTGTTGGAATGCTTATACATAACCGCATTGAATACTTGTTGTGGACCTGCCGACTCGAAAAGCTTCAAAATGAATTCGGAGGAATTCATAATGGCCTTTATTAAATTCTGCCTAATAGCTGAAGTGGTTAATTTAGATGTGGAATGTTTTATTGGGAGTGCAGTTACATTGTTACTACCTCCTAATGGTGAAGTTTCGTAGAAAAAGTCGTCGTCCTTGCTAGCTTCATTAACGTAATTAATTCTTTGGTAATAGCCACCGTTTTCAGTCAAGTTCAACATTTCGTTGGTCAATTGGCAGATGGCTTTACTCAAGTCAATTACATCTACGTCAATTAATTCATTGGAATATAACGAGACATAAGATAAATATTCTTTAGTCTTGATAATCTCACGAACGATTTCTGCACCTTCACCATTTTCTGAATTCACAATATTAAATTCCACCAGGCGCATTAAAAACTCTTCAACTGATGGGTCGTTTAAACTCCATTCCAATGTCAGTAAGACATGCAATTCCATTTGTTTGAACATGCCTTGGTCGTACTTGCACTTAGCACCACATAACTTGACCAATTCGTGTAACTTAGGAAGTCTGAATCTTTCAGTGGGTCCTAAGAATCTTCCTCCCAGGCCATATCCTAAATCCGTTATGGTTTTAATGTCAGTTAACTTTCCAACATTGGATAAATTAACAAAATGGTTGTTACCACCTTGGACCTTGGCAGCTATCCACAAGCAAGTTGTGATGATCAATTGCAGCTGATCGAGGAGTACTACTCTCTTCAGGCAGTATCTATCAAAGATCTTAACTGCGCGAAAGAACACGAATGGTAAAATCTTGAGCCTGATGGACATTTTCAACAAAAAGTCTATGAGTTTATTTCTGATTGCAAATGTCAAGTATGGTTGTTGCAGGTATAACTCCAAGTTCGGTCTGTTCAAGTTGATAGAATTGATGAGTGTGGATAACACCTCATGCTTGTATTCTTGGAAATTATCTGCATGGCGAAGTACCTCTGTATGATAAAGTTGGGCCGGGTACTCAAACTGGAGGAATCGTACCATTGCAGATTACTGAAATTCTCTAATAAATATATATGAAAAGCAGCAGTAATGGTGGTAGTAGCTAACTGAATAATTGACGATTTTTCAGTTCTTAAGGGAGTAAATCAAAAAAAAGATCTTCGTACCGACTTCAGTATATATTAACAAATAATAATTTTTTTTTCAATGGTAATATTATTATTTTCTTATTTTGGAGAAGTGTAGTATTTTTTTTATTGTAGTTACTATCTGCTCTTTGTTTTCTTATAAGCCGTTCCTTTCCTCTCCACTATTATGGAATGTGTGCCACTTTAATACAAAATCTGGAACCGAAGAAGTGAAAGAAAAAAAATAAAAACCAAACGGCTCGAAATGCTCCTCGTCTAAATTTCGTATGTAGTACGCAAGTCTAAGGAACCTCAGGTCAGTTGATGCCGATGATGATAAACGGGATAAACGAAAAGGGTGTACCGATATGAAAATGCCGAAGTTGAGCGCCAGAATAAGACGTTATATGTTCTTGGACGAAGGTGTATGTATGTCAAATACGTCGGAGGTGCTCTTATTTTTCAGTTGTCGCTTTGTTTCCCTCTCAGATATTTAAGTCTATTGTTGCAATTCTGTAATTGGAATTTTACTAATTACAATAGGCAATTAAAATGTCGCGTATATGTTCTTTGTCCTCAATATAGTAACTAGCTACTATATATGATGAATATAGGGGAAAAAAGGGTTTGAAAGGAATGGAAAAGATGATAAAAGGAAGTAGCCTCTTACTCAAAATTTCTTGAATAGTGTTCTCTCTCTTTTTTTTTCAATATCTCCTTTTCACTTTCGAAGGACGGATTCTCTAGGATTATATGAGGTTAAACTTTAATTGTATACTCCTACATAGGGTAGCCTAATCGCCGGAATTGAAAAAAGTGACTTGTTTTCTGTACCTTGATAGTAAATATCGAGGAGGTATCATGCAGAAATATCATGTCAGGTTTAAAGTATTTACTTGGTTTAGAATAGCATTAGAGGAACGTCTGGACTCGCCATATGCAAGAAAGAGATTTTTTGTACATCACTGCCAGCATCCTCCATATTGTTTTTGCCTAATTGGGGGAGGGACCTATTTCAAATGAAGTACAAAATATGTTTTAACGCGTAATGAGGATCCGGTTTGGCGGTGATTTTTGGCTAGTTTGTCGTCAATGTACCGCATGCAGATTTTACGAGATGCATGAATGTCAGGCACCGCCCAAAATGGAAGTAGGGGTGGTTGGGCTTTTTCTTTTTTCCTAGTGCAGCTGAGCCTCTGGAATATGTTTTACGCCCTTATGTACCTGAATCGCCTCCCTTACCTAATAAGGATTAGCCTATACCAATTTTGGAATTAGCCTAAATAGACGAGAAGTGTTAAGCGATTCGGGGATTTTAGATGTTTAAAATCTGTTTAAGTGTCAAATGATCATATGACCATATACTTTCAGCGATCATTGAAGGTTTTTTAGTTCGGTTTTGAAAAAGGGTACAATAATTGTGACTTGATTACATTGAATACTTCTGGATTTGATTTTAAGCTTATGGCATTGGAATTATTTTTACTTCAAAAAGTAATGTTTACACTTGAAACCTTAAATGATAATAGCCTTTTAAATTGTATTATTGTACAAATAGCACGGACAATGAAAAATAGCCTCCAGGCACATGTGATGGGGGAAAAAATATTGACGATTTTAAGTTTCGCATACATTTTCTCTTCTTTTTTTTGGAAATTTTTCATATATTAGAATTTTTAGAGTTTTTGGAGAATGCAAATTGCGAATAATAAAAGAAAAAAAAAAAATAGGAAGTAGACTAAAAAAAATAATCGTGAAAAATACAACCTATTGTAGAATGCTACATTGTCACATACAGTCACGTTGCTATCTAATTAGATCGAATCGATTTGGAAGGACCCAAAGAGTACTAGCAAACTGTTCTGAGGAATAGGAAGCAGAACAAGCCAAGCTAAAAGGGGGGGCTTGTGTGACTGAAGTGAAGCTTAATTCTTACTGGAGTACTCTTTATTTTTTGATGGTGTGGGTGAACATGACTGGAAATTGATGCTAAATGTCACCTTGACTTTTGTCCAGGGAAAAAGGTTACAAATCAGGTTTACAAGACGACACATCAAGAAAAATACCAAAAAAAAAGAAGAAAAAATAAAAAAAAACAGAGCTGTGAAAATAGTCCGTTCTAGCAATTACGCGGGATTTGTAGCTCCAACACAATGCACGGTAATTATGGGAATGTGCAACAAGCCAGATACAAGAAAACATTAATATACATGATCTGAACACCTGATTATGCACCTTGCTACGCTACGGGATGTAGTTTCGACACTACAGATATCACCTCCTCTTGACTACCCAACATGAGCTTTTCTTTCTTTTTCTCATCTCGTATTCAGTCTCTCTTTTATTTTCAGGTTAATAGTTAACTTAGGCTTTAGCTTGAGCTGTGGAGAACAGGCAGCGTACCAAAAGAGAGAGTGAAAAAATAAGACGCGAAAAAAAAAATAAAATACAAAACTACTATCTGATAAATTAAAAATTAAACCATAAACACAGCAATAGATAAGCATTGTAGGTAGGTGTGAAGAGCACGTTCCTGTAGATATATTCCTGTAGATACATTTCCTTCGTCAATACTGTCCTTTTCCTTTACGAGACTTTAGTTATGGAGGATAAAAAGGGGTTCGTGAACAGGGCGTTCACCAGTCTTTTTGGCCCAACTTCTCCTCCCACAAATGAACCAACAATTGATTACGGAAAAAATTACACAAACTCGGATTATGAAAGCACAGTAAATTCAACTAGACCATCCAAGCCCTACAGAGATCTATTTGAAGCAAGAGGTTGGTTAGATGAAGATGTGAAAAACGATTTGGACCAGGTTTACAATCAGCACGATGACACTGTGCTGAAATTGGACAAATTACCGTACAATTACCCTGGGAGCTTTCAAAGATCCCCCGGAAATAGAGAGCCCAACCCTCCTCGAATAGTTAGGAGTGGAAGCGATGGGGCCTACAGAAAAGAAAAATTATTTAGCAGCCCTTTCGCCGCAAGAACAGAACATTGGCAGAAGCCAGAACAGGATGTGGCACCCATTGAAAATGACCTTAAAATTGCCCGCATAAACGCATCTCTCCAGTCGATATCATCTTCTTACGATACGAATAAACTAAAGACGTTGGTTGAGTCAATTGAAGAGAAGAACAAATTTCTAACTGAGTTGAATGAACTAGTTGAGTTGAGCAAGAATGACAGTGAACAAGTTCCATCGCTAGCCAAGTACAACCAGCTTTTGAACGACTACACTGAAGAATTGGAAAAGTGTAACAAGTTCTACGAAGCCTACTACAAGCTAGCGTTCAAATATGGTGAACTCAAGGAAATAATTAGCGGAAGGTCTTCCACCAATCTTACCGAGAATGAGTATCGGGCTATACTTGACGACATTTCCTCGCTAAAATTGGCCGCTCGAAACGATCGCGCTAGCGAAAACTTAGAAACATCACACAACTGGGACGCACTAACTGCTAAATTGCATCTGCTTATCAATGAGAATAGTAATCTACAATCAAAATGTGGCTACTATGAACATGAACTAGCGAAATCTAAACTTAAGATTCTTGAACTAGAAAGGGAAAGTAAATATAAGAAGGAAATAAAATAATTTTGTAAATATAATTAATTAACCATAAAAATAAATGAATAAAAATAAATAAATAAATTAAAATTAAAAATAATTGTATGGTAGGGAATTTTCCATAGGGCGGAATTATCGAGCGAAGCCTACCGCCATGTATGTGCATCAATATGCATATAGTTAAGTGTACTAATTTTTAGATATTTTTTCGTATTTTATTTTCATTTTATCCTAATGTCCACTTATTTTCTTGGTTGTTAAGTGTAGAAACATGTTTCAGAAGTTTCCATCCCAGAAACAACGGAATGGAAATCCCACTTGGAAACAGAAGGCATGCATTATTATTTAGAAAATTATTTTTTGCTCCAATTTCAAATTTTGCAAAACTGGCTCCATGCAAGGAAGGAAACCAATGGAGAAGATGCAAGAGAAACAAAATTGGGTGAGAAGGGCTGAATTGGAAGTGCTACAGATATTGACACATGCTTTACTTCACTAGGGCCATGGGGTGCACGTAATTCTAAATACAATGCAATCGAAAGTGGTCCGTTTTCGCCAATAATTTCTTGAGTCACGGATCTATTAATAATACCAGCTTAAGCTGGATGTAATACAGCAAAATGGTAAATAGAAGATCACCAGCAAACTTCAAATTTATGAAACGGTATGCCGACTTTAGTCGATTCTTTTTTTTTTATTACATACGCCTACGCCAATCAAAATTGAAAGTTAACTCTTTGTTGTCAAGTATGCACGGATTCCTCTAACACCTTCCCAGATAAGTGTACCCAACTTGTGCTTAGAAATTTCCTGGGCCACACGCAGGTGAAATTGGAAATGTTCCTGACTAATGTGGTAGCATGAGATCGTATTGAGCATAAAGTGGATGATCGCATATTGAATCATTGATGTACCTACCTGTATATTATGAGGAGGTCTCGTGCATGAATACTCTTATTGTATGTTTTCTTTCGTAGCTGTGTAAATTTGCAACCATTCAGTACTCGTAACATGGTTACATGAAGAATGACTGATCCAGTTGAGGTACCACACTCGCGTAACTCGGGTTTATTGTGATAACCAGAGGTTGCAGAGCTCAGAATATGAACAAACCTCTCCCAACAACTGGGCCATTGCGATATCCTGATGATTTCTTGCAAATTAAGTAAATTCTTTGAAATTCTAGTCACATTATGTCTATTGCTATAAACTCTTCTACTTGAGGGGCGAGTTTCAGCCCAATATCTCTAAATTATCTTAAACAATGTGGGAATTACTCATACTGGGAACCAATGAATGTGCATCAATCGTAAATCCTCCTTCTTCTATACCTTCATTGATGCATTCAGTGATAATATGATCCCAATCGCTCACCAATACAAAGTAATACTGTAATAAAGATACAATAAATAAGGCGATGATCATCCCAATCCATAAACCGATAAGTTCTAGTTCAAAGTAAAATGCAAACACAAAGGCAAGTGGTAAGGCAATGCAGTAGTACAGAAACAAATTCAAGTAGCCACCTATCTTTTGTCTACCTTGACCACGTAAAACCCCATTAGTAGAGCATGAAATACAATCATTGATTTGATAAGCGGCACCTATTATCAAAACTTTCAGCGCCAATTCAATAACCTTTGAGTCTGTGGTGAACAAGGAAGCAAGCCATTCTCTGAACACAAGCAAAAATGTCCCATTCACTATCCCAACGATCAACGAGAGTGAAATTGCAGAGTTAGTAGCCATCTTAGCAGCATTTTTCGATGCAGCCCCAATGTACCATGCAACTCTAGTAGAAGCTGCTATAGACAAAGCGAAGGGAATTTGGTAACATAAAACACAAGTTGTAGAAATAATCGACTGGGCTGCTAAGACCTCAGTGCCGAACTTTGACGCAGTAAAAGTGATAATCTCGAATGCTAGCCATTCGGCTTCAACCATTAAAACACCAGGAACAGATAAATCAATGATCTTTTGCCAGTTAGTGAAGCATCTCTTACTGAAAATAGACTCCTCTGGCCAGCACTGGTACCCGTTAACAAAGAAAATATAAGAGTACAACATTGCACACATCAACCAATTCGTAATGACTACCGAAAGTGGAGCTCCAATAAAGCCCATACCTACGTGCGGATTCCAGACAAGGAAATAGTTCAAAAAGGCGTTCAAAGGTGCACAGATACACAACACATAGGTGGAGGCATGGAAGATCCCCTGGCATTGAAGGAAGTGCTTCCCATTTTCAAAAAGGATGAACCCGGGGAGTCCCAAACTCAATATTTGTAAGTATTTTGAGGCCAAAGAGCAAAGTTTAATCTGGTCCCCCTCATCACCCACAATTGCGAGCAAGATTGGCTTGGAAAGAAACACCCAGAGGATAAACATTGGGACATATAAAACGAAAAGGAGGTACGTACATCTCACAAAATGCAATCCATGGGTATTGTAGTCCTTCCTTCCGTATGCCTGGGCACACAAAGTATCCAAACAGGTGGAAACACCTTGGATTATAGCATAACCTGAGATGTTGGCCGTCATGGACGAAAGACTGACAGCTGCCAACTCGGTGGACCCTAATCTCCCCACGGAGAAGACAGATGCAACCGTAAGTGAGTACTGTAAAAGAAAGGTGATACTCAACGGAATCGAGTATTTAATTAATGATGTGATCTCTGTACCAAAAGTTGTCTCTGGCTCTGCAGGGAGCACATCTCCGTGCTGTGAAAGAACCTCTGACACTTCCACAACCGAATGTCTAGCCATGGAAGCGTGCGATCTCATTGTTTTGAGACTGGTGAACCCGACACCTGACGTAGCACTCTCGCTTGGGTTTCTAGCGGCATTTCTGGTATGTACGAACCCTGTAGGAACATCTGGACCGAACGAAGCAATCGACTGTCTACGGTTCTGGATATAGTTGACGATCTCCGACTCGTCAACACTACCATTTGAGGTAACGTACGTAATTGGGTTGTTGGAATTAAGCGGTGACAACTCCGACATCTTGATATCCTTATCTAGTAATACTTAGCTTCAAAACAGGACCTAAAAGCCTTTTTTTCACTTTATCTCAGGGTATATATATATTAGCTTTGTTATCAACGTGCTCGTTATCTTCCCAGTGGTAGATCGCACAAAAGTGAAATCGCATCAATGTGCAGATATACGAGAAAATGCGTCAAACTATTTGGTGCGCTAACGGCAGGTGAGCGATGAGGAGGGTCTGACTGCCTTGGTTGGAAGGATATTCTGTGCTTTGGTAAGATTTTGCATGATGTGGTTGTAAATTGTCTTCGAACAAGTACACGCTTAAGCATCTACATTAAAACATTTGAACTTTTGTTCCTAGATTCCTGGGATCTATCCGCCATTACGTCAGATAAACAGCAGCGAGTGAAAATTTCGCCGCGTTCGCGCGGTAGATGTAGCTGAATTAGGATAAGAAACGCACTGGAATTTATACAAGAGGCTGGGAGAGGTACCTCTGATGTAAGGCTACTGTGCTATTGGACAAGCACTTGAGTTGCAGAGAGTTCTCAGTTGGCGGCGCACCCTTGTAGGCTTTTGGCGGTGGCCTCCACACTGGGCTGGTCTAGATATTATAAACGCGTTACTTCTTACTCGCCCTTTGGCTTTCAGGTTATGTTTTTTTACGAATCATGCATATTTATTTAATTCATTTCTATCAATATATATATCATATTAAACTGATGTAGTCACTTAGCTATTACTTGAATCTATAAAGCACTTTTGCAAACTGACTTTCTGAGTGGTTTTTACTAGCCGTGATCCACCATACTTCTCCATGCATCCAGAACAATACCATGCGAACACGCCGATATATGTAGGTTCAATGTTTACCTTTAGCAGAATCTTGGACATTTTTCGAACTTTCTGAGTGACATATCTCTGCAACACCTTACTACCTCAAAAAACCATGTCTAGGATCCATGTTGATCATTTTCATAGGAATGATCTAAAATTTTCCCCTAAGTAAATTTCCGATCATTTCCTTTCCAGTGTAATAAATGGTTATTCCGAGAGTGTATGCGTCTAAAGTAGAACTAAAAGTGTCTAAAAATCCAAATGGCAACATAGCTGGAATCCAACCCTGAGCCAACTCTAAGGCGAACATTCCCAGTGACGCACCATATTGTTTAACATGTCCCATAGGTAAGTGGTGAACGTCACCTGGTTGGTATACTTCAGGTGTCAATGCATTAGGATATGCTGCGGTTTGTATTCCTGTCAAGATGGTGAAGTAATCGTCAGCAAAATGAGTACCAGTGTGCCCTTCAGTACCAACTGCGGAACCGAAGAAAATCAAATACTCGGAGATGGAGGCATGCAAAATGAACATACTGCCCATAGCACCACCGGCATTGTTAAACATCCAGTCATCGAAGTTGAAGTCAGTTACAATGTCCCCATACTCAGCCTTGATCTTAGGAGCCAAATCTAACATGATAGCAGTCGCATTACCGTCTGGGTGCTTCGCGATGGATTCACGGGCTAAAGTTTTTAACACATCTTTATCGAAAACATATTTTGATGGTAACCATGTGTAGAAAAGTCTGTTCAAAATTGAAAAAATTACTAATGGAATTACAGTCCATGCAAAAAATTTCTTTAAAGAGGCCATCTTAATAGAATAGATTGTCGTAGGTGATGATTATAGGTAAACTTTAAAAGAAACTCTGGTCTATTTATTTACAAAATTGCTTGACTTCGGGTTCAGTGATCTCGTTCCTCGTATACCTCGTAAAAGTGGAAAATTACACAAAACTCTACACGACTGTGTAAACGAGATCTTATGCTAAGTGACAAGAAAAAGGCTGCGCATAGAGGGAGCAGTTTCGGATGCATTTCGTATACAGATCAGGCCTGCTTCTGTAAGCCAGGTCAGGCTTGTTCTTCTACTATAACCTTAATCTAATTTTGTTGTGGCCTTTGTTTGAATTGACTTTGGCTAGTGAATTATGCTTTACCCTATCCGTGCTAAATCTGCATCTCTTGCTAGAGATCACACCTGCACATTGACTCTCTTCACACCGTACTCGTGCTGATGCAGTGATTATGATATCCTGCACGCTATCACGTCCACTTCACTTGGTTCAGAAAAATTCGAGTTACCAAAACTTCCTGCTACATGACTATGCTGTTTCAGCTATAGAACTATGTCAATCAGCAAGGTTCTAAGCTCCCCCACGTTGCTGGACAACGAAGTAATATTGGAGATCGAAAGAATCGCATCCAGTGGCGCAGACCTAAGAGCTATATCGGACCAAATCGTGATTCCCTCATTAGAGATAAATGCTGAGACCCCCGCGCTTACACTTAAACTAGCACTTTTAAAAATAGAGTTGAATTGCTTTGCGAGATCGAAATGGATAGAGTCACTCTTTCTGCAAATACTGAAGGCAGTGCTTCCTAGAGGTTTATCAGCTTTTACAAGTAGTGACACTGCTGTACTATACATTAAGATTAAGTACGAAGATTTGTATTCAGATTATCAGTTTTTGGCGGTGAAAGATGCTGATTCCATTGCTGCAGATCTCGCAGCGGGTGGAAGTGAGAATATCTCTAGCCAAGCTAGTCACCCCAAATTTATGGACTTGATTAACAAGAAATTAACTTTACTTAATAATATCCCTGAACGTACATACAGCACAAAGGGCTCCATATGCTTATTGGTAGCATCCATTTATAGAAAAGTAATTGACTTATTACTATTAACTGGGAACGACTTCTTGAAAAGAAACTTGCTACATCATCTAAATGAAAAATTGAGAATTACTGGTAATTCAAATTCTTTAGCGGCTGGATCCCCTAACTCTAGCGCACTCATAGAAAATTTTAATGGCATTTTTACCCCATTATCCTGTTCGTTCTTTAAAACAACCATTGAAGGAAGGCTAGTTGCATTCAATCAATTCCACCAGTTTGTAACGTCTTACGATAGTGGACTATATGTAAGGCAAATAGCTAGTTTATTTTTGAGTGCGTTGCTCGAAAACCACTATGAAAATAACGTCTATAATTTAAGCAAGTACTACGATAACATCTCATTGCATAAAATTGGGAATTTATTGCAACCGTCTTCAGGCCATAGCGACTTCAATTTTGAAGAGTTAATATCCAAAATGATCCTGAATGATAAATTGCCACCAGGCACAACCTTAGATCAATTGGAGCAAACTTTGCATTTCCCAGTTCAAGAATCATACCATCGTATGCAAGATATCTGTGATATCATAGAAGAAGTCACCAACTTGATAGAAATATGTGAAGTGAGGTGATGTTGCATTTTAGTAGAGTGTACATATAATGAGTTTCTTAAATTGTGGCTCGAAGTACTTGAAGTAAAGGCAAGTTTCATATTAATAGAAAGTACATAGGATAATGAATTCCTTAAGTTGTATGCAATTGCTATGTAAGTTTACTTCTGTTTGTTTTTATCTTTAACCCATAATAGTAGAAGATTGCAAAAGAACTACATTACGCTTTTCCAAATTTAACTAGCATTATTAACGTATAAAGTGTTTAACTACTTAATCGAATTTGCTGTATTCCTTAGTCCAGTATTGTCTAATGGTTGTTTCCTTTCCAATGCTTGCAATCTTTTCTTGTTCTTCATCTGTCAATTGGAAATCGAAAATATCCAACAGTCCAACAATTCTCTCCTTCTTACCAGAAGTAGTGATTGGCAAAACACCGTTCTGTAATACCCATCTTAATAAGATTTGTCCAGCATCCTTTCCTGTGTACTTCTTGGTTAACTCTGCAAGGTATGAATTGAGTTTACTATCAGAAGCACCCTTAATAATTGGGCCCAATGGACTATAAGATTCAACTAGAATACCATTTTCTTGGGAATATTTGACAATTCCAGGAGTTTGGTTTTGTAAGTTGGCATTGTATTCAATTTGATGGACGGTTGGCTTGATCTTAGCAACCTTTAAAATCTTTTCCAAGTCTTCAATTGCAAAATTAGAGATACCAATACTCTTTACAAGCCCTTCATCAACTAACTTTTCCAAATAGCCCCAAGCTTCCTCTAATGTGAAGCCGTGGGTTTCCTTCTTAATAAATGGGGCATGAAGCAAGTATAAGTCTACATAGTCCACCTGGAATCTCTTCAACGACTCCTTTAAGGACTCGTATGGGTTGGGGAAAGGAGAATGTCTGGTGAACGAACCATCCCCAGCAAAGTACTTATCAGTAAGGAAAATGTCCTTTCTTGGCTTACCGGCCTTCTGTAAAGCCTCACCGATCTCAAGTGCGGTATTGTACACTTCTGCACCATCAATGTGGGTAACCCCCACTTCAAGTGCGGTAACTAAAATATCAACTAATGTGGTATCAATCTCGTCTCTGCCTAACTTAAACCATTTGGTACCAGTACCATAGCCTACTGCAGGAATAAGGTTCCCATTAGAAAGTTTAAAGCTCTTACCTACTAAAGACATGTTAAAAGTATAAATTTGAAAAAGTGAAAATTACTGAAAAATTATGCAATGTATTATCTAAAAGAATGATTGTTATTGCAATTGAGTAGAAAAAGCTAATTTACGATAGGTTTTCTTCGTGGGAAGCAATCCCATTTATATATGTTGTTGGATTGCTTGAATTTCTCATGGCGGTCGGGTAGATCTCGGACTATCGGTTAGTGGGGGAACTGGTGAGCCACCACACTTTTATACAGGAATATTCTTATTATTGTTGTATTTTATTAAGAGATTACTAATCTAGTATGTACTTTTGAGTTTGCAGTCTAATTATGCCACTATTAGGTTGCACCACAACAATCTATGATTACACACCTACTAGATATCCACCCAGCTTCACAATGCCACCGATATAATACAAAAAAAAAACTAGTATGACGAAAGGTTTGATTCTAAATGGTTATTCGTTCCAAGTTTATGGAGTGTGTGTGTGGATAATTGTGGTTCCAGAGTGGATATAGTTAGTAGTGGGGACTTTAGACCCTAATACTCTAACCTATTCTTCTCAATTGTAAAAGCCAGATCCAAGTTGAAGTAATGATTTTGCAACACTGAACGAGTTGGGTGTTCCAAAGGAATTGGCTTGGATTGGTGAAGAGCTAAGCAAATTATCTTTACCTGCAACTTTAATTGAGTTACTGGTGCTTTCCTTTATTGGACCGTCATCATCTTCATCGATCGTTTCATCTGTATTATTATATGGTAGTTTATATCTCTTATCATGTGGCAAGTATGGGTTCACGAGGTTTCTTGTTGTGGCTTTGAGTGGAGTTTTCAATATTTTGTTAATTGGAGGCAACAGTCTAACCATTTTCGTCTTCACACTTGGTGGGAAGGTCGCGAATGTTGTTGCCGGTGACGATGTAGATGCAAATTGATGTTGTTCGGTGCGCGAATCAACTGTTCTAGGTTCTAATGGGATGTCCTTCTTGTCTGCATAGAACTTTGAATCTTTCTTTATACTGTAAAGTTTTAATTTTTGGGAGTTCCTGAATAAAAGTAAATTTTTGTCGTATGCTGTTGCAGATAATGATGGTTTCTTCTTTTTCAAAGTGGGAAGGGAAGTAAGGTTGGTATTGTTTTTGTTGGAGCTAGAGCCGAAGGTGTTCGATGGCTTGGTAATGTGGGAATTTGATGCAGAAGTTAATGATTTTAAATTAAGGTTAATACTGGCAGCGATGTAAGATTTGGAAATTTTATTATTTTTGTTGGAAGCAAGCTTTCCTCCTACAAGGCCCTTTTTCTGAAGTTTGTAAATTGCGAGTTGAAGTTTCAACTTAAGTTTGGTTGCTGCCAATGATGCTGTAGCAGATCTATCAGGGGTAGATGATAGTGACTTTGCTGCTGCGGTCTTCAGGTCTGGAGATTCCAAAAAATCCGACCCCCCAGGAGAAGTTGAAGTGGAATTCGGTGTAAGGTTTTGGTCATTGAAGAAAGTGTCAGTCAAGCTTTTTGGTGTGGTATATTTCTGCAATTGTGCGCTCCCAGCTCCGAAAGTCTGTGCTTGGAGATGATGTGGTTGGTGTGGGAAATGAGATTGCGAAAGTCTGTGCTTACCATTAGGTGTCAAGGGTAAACTAGGTGAAGTGTACAGTCTCTTGAGGCCGCTTGGAGACTTTGAAGGGGATGATATGTTGAGAGATGAGTCTCTAATTGGAGCTAAAGCGATCCGAGACATACAGGCAGTGTTGTGTGTGTTCTTGGGTGAATGCTTAGCTTTGTATATTTGAAACAAAAGAAAAAAGTCACGAGCGTTTTGTTAACTGCAAAATTGTAATTCTAACGTCACACTTGTGTACTTAACCCTTTCACAAGTAACAGCAATGGCAGTGTTTTTTTGAAGTTTGGAAGAGAAACAAAAAAAGAGATAAGTTAAATATATTATCAAAAAGACAACAATATCAATACCAATATCAACTTCACACTTTGTATACATTTTGCCATACCCAAACTTTCTGAATATGGACTGGTAATGTTTATGTTTACACGTTCGCGTGGTAGCGCTTTTTTTTTTTTACTATTATTATTTTTTATTTTTTTGGCTGCGACTGCTTGGGAAGTGTTTATGTTTTGCCCCAAAAATCCACCGCGTATTGAATAAACATTACTAAAGTAGTAAGATGACAGAGATGAAAATTCCGAGAGTCAATCTTTAGAACGTAAAAATAAATACTGCTCGCTCAGGAACGAGGCTTCTATAAGCGAGAGCAGGAGGATAGGAGGAAACGGCTCAGGCTTACAGGGGTAGAAAGGGGGGGAATCAACGTGAGGAATCCTGGGTTCTACTACAGGTCATGACAGATGTGTCACCCTCCTTTCTCGATCTTTACCTCTCATTTTCCATTCGAGCTTCCCGCTCGTACTTCTCGCTTGTCGCAGCACGATGCGTTCTAAAAATATTCCTTTTTTATAGTGTGCATTACATTATTGACAAAATTATGTTAGCTGAGATCATCCGCTGCATAACATCCTGCACAATACCTCGTTTTCACTCAACTTTTCATTCTTTTGAATGACTCGCTACGCGGTCCTCCGTGATGTTTGCGATCTAGCTTCTTATGGTAATTGTTATTGTTATGATGTGCACTGAAAAATTAACCATAAGAACTTTAATTCTTGGGCTTGCCTTGTTTTACCTTGTTTTACCTTAAATTGCATTCCCCTAGATCATTTCTATTTATACTATACGTCACTCCTTCCTTCTTGTATTACGAGCTAACTGTTGGCTCTTCTTTTTTCATCTCAATGCTTTCGTTTTTGTTTTTGATGATTTCTATTGTAGTCGCAAATATCATCTCTCATCCAAACGACCCTAGTGTCTCTGGTGAAGCCAGACGCATTTATTTTTTAGGTACCAATTAAAATTTACGCATAATGCAGTTTTTCAGAACTCACTTCGCTATTGTCTTAAATTGGAGATGGCATGCTTTTAAACTTTTAAGCTCCATATATGCGAGCCTGAACGGCCCACCCTATCATAAACAGTATAACTGCGGGCAAAATCTGTTTGTTTCAAACTACTATAACTGGTTTCAGGTTTTTCGTTTCTGTCTTCTGTCTTCCAATTAGCCTTAATCTTCTGCGTAGTTCCTTGGCTCTACATTCCACTCTCTCTTGAGGCTTGATATTTGAACTGGTAAACAAGTTGAAGGCATGGAAAAAGGCTGTACGCATATGGTGGTCACGTGATTATCCTTCAATGTGCAACTTTTACCTTCTTCAGCACGAAACGCATAGAGGAGAATGTGGAATTCGGTGTCAATCCTGGAAATACTACACCCTATGACGCTCCTGTAACGTTTTCATAGTTTCCCTAGTTTGCAAGTTAATTGAGTGGCTGCCAAACCGAACCTTCTCTTCATTTCTAAATTGTGGCTCATATCGCTATCAAGTACATTCTTTTTTCTTTTGCTGTATATTTTTTGCACCCAATTTTATATGTAGCACCTGTCAGAGAACACACCGGCAAAGAAAAAACCATACATTATTTAGCATCTTTATTGATTAACATTAAATTCATGTGCAAGAGATAACTTTACCCTGTATGTTATTTCAAAATATTTTGATGTGCAAGGTTGGAAAGACACTGACGATTCTAGTGCTTATTCGGTATTTGTCATTGTCATATGTATATTTGTATGCGCATGTGTAGTAATGAGAATAAAATACACTCTTATACATATAGCCTACCGAAAGAAACCTCTTAAGTTAATACTACACCTAATATCTTAGGATCCATTACTCCATATGTCTTTATCATTTATCTTAGTGAACGACTTGCACTTGAGTACTATCGTGACACCCTGATGCCCTGCTACCATCCGGTTGAAGCAGATCCAGCGTACTGCATACAACCTAATAGATAAGAAAGCATGATCTCAAAAAAAAATTAGATACTAGATAGGAAGGGGATCCACAAACATGTCATCATAGAAACTTCCTGTTTTCTTTCACTGTCATCTTAAACATATATTAAATCCTCTCATTAAATACATACAATCAATAAAGTAGCCTCATGATTAGATCGAAATTATCTTCCCTTAGAGAATACCTTACCCCTATAAACCACGCCTCTAACTTCGCCACCACAGGGGAAATATCACCAGAAGAGTTTGTTAAGGCTGGAGATTATCTAGTTTATAAGTTTCCGACTTGGCAATGGCTGTCTGCGCCGGAGAAATTGAGGAAAGATTTTTTGCCGGCAGATAAGCAATATTTGATAACTAAACATGTACCAAGCCATCAAAGATGTGCGGATTATTTAGGGGTTGGAGCAGACGGAGAAGATGAAGAAGAAGAGGATGACGACGGAGAGGGATGGGTAAAGTCGAAAAGTATAAAGAGAAGCGTTGGAGAAGAAGAGTCAGGTAGTGCGACCGAGACGAAAAATGAAGTTGAAGCCACTGAACCCAGCAAGGATGTTGATGATATAGATGATCTTGTAGAAGTAGATGCTGAAGGGGATGATGAGGAAGGAGATTCTGAGTATGAGAACGATGGATTTCTGGAGTTTATTGAAGGAGGCGGGTCCCAAAACTCTTTGTTGCGTAAATATGACCTTTATATCACATACTCGACTTCATATAGAGTGCCAAAGTTGTACCTCGTGGGGTTCAATTCCAATGGTATTCCATTATTGCCCAAACAGATGTTCGAAGATATATCAGGGGATTATCGTGACAAGACTGCCACCATAGAGAATCTACCAGTATCCTTTAACACCACCTCAGTATCCATTCATCCATGTAAACACTCATCCGTCATGAAAGTCCTAATGGCCCACGTGAGACGGAGAAATACCGTTGAAGATGAGGATGCCGAGAGTCCAGAAGAAGGTGATACCATTAGGGTTGACCAATATTTAATCATATTTCTCAAGTTTATAGCTAGTGTCACTCCTGGGATTGAGTATGACTATACAATGGATGCATTGTAACTATTAATAAATAAATGACTATACCAAACGATCATATGTTGATGCTTTCCATTCAATAAAGTGAGCCCTCTTGTACGAGAGATAAATGTAAGGGAAATCCGTCAAATCCAGCTCTAAGTAAGTGACCAACTTCCCATCCGCCCACAACAACTTTACCGCTCTTTTACCCAGCACAGATCCCTTTGGATGCTTGTAAGCAAATTACTTTTCTTCTGATTCTGTCTTGCTCTGTTCTGCTCTAATCTGCTCCTGTATTACTCTGTTCTGCTCTAATCTGCTCCTGTCTTAGTCTGCTCCGCTCTCATCTACTGCATGTCTTCTGTGCATACTTTTTTTGCACCCAATTATGCAGCAACTCTACGGAAGCCACCAGCCTCAAACACGAAAGAAAAGAACTGCTCTACAATAAAAAACATCAACATCCAGCTAGAGAGTTGACGTTACACTTCTCTACAAAACACAGAATTTCACAGCAGTAGCTTACTTGCCGCTCAGTCACCTTCACACCCTGCATCGCTTAAAGATAAGCTGTCAAACCCTCCGCCTTCGCCTTTACTCTTCCTATGGTTGGGAGCCATGTGCCGAATTTTCAAGTATTAACTCTGTTTACAAATTTGATCAAGCTGGAGCATCACGTATACTGCCAACTTCTTTTGCTATAGCTTATCAACTTAGCACAATAACATACCCTTGGCTATAAAATTTTCTTAGTTTAGCAGCATGGTAAAACGTAAGAGCGCCAAGCGAAGCAATTCGGTATCTGCCGGAAGTGCCACTGGCTCAAGCAACCAAACTTCGAAGAATGAGACAGCAACCATTTCCTCAGTTCTAGGAACACCAAAACTTCGACCCGTGGAAGCTAATGATACCCCGATTGATGATGAGGTCGAAGACGAAGAAGATGAAGAAGAAGAAAAGGAAGTGGTCAAAAGGAAAAAAATACATCAATCAAGAAGGGTTGTATTCATTCTTGGTGCCCTTATTGGTCTCTTTCTTGCTGTATTCTTCTCTACCAATTCTCATGATTCACTTCAAAAAGAGTTGGAAAAGTTGGTCAATTATGACTCTGTAAGTGGGATATTGGATGACTGGAGAGATGTACTCCCCTCTGGCATTCAATCCTTGATCTCAGACATCGAAATTTCGTCTTCCACAAAGGAAGAGGGCCAGTTACACGGGAGCGCTGATTCCTTTTCTGTGGGTAAAAGAATGGTGTTACAGCAAAACTTGACTGAAGTTCATAATGTAGTTATGGTTCCGGGAGTAATTTCCACCGGAATTGAGTCATGGGGCCTTGATTCCATAGATGGATGCCAATCTGAACCATATTTCCGTAAGAGACTTTGGGGATCTTTCTATATGTTGAGAACCATGGTATTGGATAAGGCATGTTGGTTAAAACATATAATGTTGGACCCTGAAACAGGCCTTGATCCTCCCAATATCAAACTTAGAGCTGCCCAGGGCTTCGAAGCTGCGGATTTCTTTCTTGCTGGGTACTGGATTTGGAACAAGATTTTGCAAAATTTAGCAGTGATAGGTTATGGCCCCAACAACATGATCTCCGCCAGTTACGATTGGAGATTGGCATACTTGGACTTACAGAAAAGAGATGGTTACTTCACTAAATTGAAAAACCAAATTGAAACTATGAAGTACCTTAACGGCCAAAAGTCTATTCTTGTGGGACATTCCATGGGGGTGCAAGTTATCTACTATTTCATGAAATGGGTGGAAGCGGAAGGTGAGTTGTACGGAAATGGTGGTAGCTCATGGTGTAATGATCATTTGGAAGCAATGGTTGACATCCTGGGATCTTCATTGGGTGCACCGAAGGCAATTCCTGCCCTACTTCTGGGAGAGATGAAGGATACAATTCAACTTAACGCATTGGCAGTTTATGGGTTGGAAAAGTTTTTCTCAAGAAAGGAAAGAGTGGATATGTTGAGAAGTTTTGGTGGTATTCCTTCAATGTTACCTAAAGGTGGTGAATTGATTTGGGGAAACTTAACTTATGCTCCAGATGACCCGCTTAATACCTTAGAAACTGACGTCGGTGATGAACAGGCAGTTGGTATGGAAAAAATAGATGAGAATACCCAAAAAAATGATTCTTTTGGAACTTTTATCAGATTGAAGAATAGTGTTGAAGGAGAAGGGGACGAGGATCAAGAAGTGCACAAGAAGTTCACCATTAATGAGAGTATTGATTATCTATTAGATACGGCACCAGATTGGTTTTCCAACAGAGTAAGGGAGCAGTATTCCTTCGGCATTGCTAAAACAAAGGAAGAGCTTGAGCGTAACAACCAGGATCACCTGAAATGGTCAAATCCATTGGAAGCGGCGCTTCCTAATGCGCCAGATATGAAGATGTATTGCTTTTACGGAGTCGGGAACCCCACTGAACGTGCTTACGCATATCAAAAGGCAGATGCTGCTTCAAAGTTGGATATTACTATTGACACAGAAGCTGAAATCCCGGTGTATTTCGGTGACGGTGATGGTACTATTTCACTTTTAACTCATACCATGTGCCACGAATGGCAGAAGGGTTCTAAATCTCGGTTTAACCCTGGTAATATGTCCATTACAATTGTGGAAATAAAGCACGAGCCGGATAGATTTGATATTAGAGGAGGTGCCAAGACTGCAGAACATGTGGATATCTTGGGGCTGGCCGAATTAAATGAGCTTGTCTTGAAGGTTGCGGCAGGAAAGGGCCATACCATTGAAAATAGGTATGTTAGTAAACTACAAAAGATCGTTGAAGGGTTTAATATATAATAAGTATGTACTTGTATTTGAGTGAAGTTTGAAGTTTGAAGGCCAGCAAGATAATGGTACTAATCAGAGGATAGTACGTTCAGAGTGCTAAGGCTATTGTGACGAAAAGTGTACATATACATACCCATCAATTTGAAGTGATACATAGAAATTGGAACTACATAGTATAATATAAAAGTTGAGAGGATAAAAAACTGTATTTATCATGGTAAAGTCTAAAATACGGCCCACATCCTTTAAACCATAAATATACACCCACTTTAAGCAGGCGTATTGATGTCCCAGATTTAAGGCACTGAAAGGCACGCTTGCATAGTCTGGTAAATGTCCTGCACGTACCACCAAATTTACACTTTTTTCGTTCACACACCATTTTCCGGTTTGGAGGGAAAATTCCAATGATAACGAAACTCAGCTGAAAAACTACACACGTCATTTTGAAAGTGCCTATAAACGATAAGTAAAGTAGAATAAATATGAGGTATGTATAATTTTCTGCGACGTAGAATGGGAATATCTTAGGGTGTTGACATATTTTTTTTTCAATTGACGAAGGGGATTGTTATTTCATAGTTTGTGATGTAACTGATTCCTGAAAAAGCACAAGTCTTTTTGTTCATTCCCAATTTCACTGTTCAGGAATTCAACGGATGAATGTCTGGAAATGTAAAAAAAAGTCAGAACGAAAGACGAAAAATTGAATTTAATAAAGGAAATAAGTGGCATGCAGCTGAGGATTTTATAAGGGAAAATACAATAATGGTAGCCATGTACTCCTGCTAGTTTTTCGACATTGTATGAAATACCTTGATCAGTTAAGCTTCAGGAACTAATTGCACTTAGTCAATTGTTTGCGAAAAGGCTGGTCCAGAAATGTCCAAAAATGTCGAACTTATCACTAGGCGCGCACTCCTTCAACTAGTGCCTGTTTGACCTTCCGTAATGAACCCAGATGGTAGAGGGTCATGTGCGCGATAACCACCTATTCATTTTTCCAGTACTCTGGGATAAAACCTGAAGAGAGGAGGTTTTCCCTTGAAATAAGAAGCCAGACTGCAGTTCAAGATGGACTCATAGGAGACCCATATTAGTTAATTTTACCCTTCATTTTACTAACTCTTTCTAGTGGTAAATTTGTAAGAGCATCCAAGTTTCGTCACGTCTTTGGACAAGCAGCAAAGAAGGAGCTTTGCTATGAAAATTTGAAAATTACCAAGAACGCCTGGGATTCCAATATCATCCAATCTAATGGAAAGTACTTGAGTGTGACCTGGGATCTGTCCGGTGGTGGTGCATTTGCCGTTATACCTATTGATGAGGTTGGGAAGGCTCCAGATCAAGTTCCACTTTTCCGTGGACACAAGGGCCCTGTGTTGGATACTGCATTTGACCCATTCAACCTGGAACATGTAGCTTCATGCAGTGACGACGGGAAGATCAATATTTGGAAAATTCCAACAGAAGAGGGTTACTCATTCCATAAGTTCGTGAACGATAACGATGAAATCAAGGACATTGTAGAACCAATTCAAGTTTTACTGGGACACACAAGAAAGGTTGGTAAGATCTTATATCATCCAACTGCCCAAAACATATTAGTTTCAAGTTCCTTAGATTACAGCGTTAAGGTTTGGAATTTAGAAACTGGTAAAGATGTTATTACATTACAACATAAGGATTTAGTGACCAGTTTCAGTTTCAATTATGATGGACTGCTCTTAGCCACCACTTCCAGAGACAAAATATTAAGGATTTGGGATATCAGATCAGGTAAGGTTATTTCTGAAGGACCTGGGCACACTGGTGCCAAGCCATCAAGAATTTGTTGGTTAGGAAATACTGATAGAATTTTAACTACTGGATTCTCGAGACTTTCTGACAGACAAATCGGTATTTGGAATGTAAAGGATATAAGCGCAGGACCAATTGATGGATTCATTGTAATTGATTCGAGCCTGGGTGTTTTAATCCCCTTTTATGATGAACTGACCTCAATTTTGTATTTGGCTGGTAAGGGAGATGGTAACATTCGTTACTACGAATATGAACTGGAGACTGATGAATTATACGAAATCAGTCAGTATCTGAGTGTCGACCCTCAGAGAGGATTCGCAGCATCTCCTAAGTATGCAGTAAATGTGAAAGAAAATGAAGTTTTGAAGTGTTTCAAGACTCTTAAAGATAGTTGTATCGAACCAATTAGTTTTACGGTTCCAAGAAGAAGCGAATTATTTCAAGTTGACATTTACCCTGATTGCCCTCTGTACGAACCAGCTTTGAGTGCCGAGAAGTGGTTAAGTGGTTCCGACTGTAATGGACCAAAGTTAATGAGTATGGAAGAATTGTACGAGGGTAACTCACCTCCAGTCTTCAAGGACCTGGCTCCAAGAGCTGCAGCCCCTAAAAAGGAAGCAGAAACCAAAACTACTGAATCACCAAAGGCTGCTTCGCTGGCTGTAGAGAGTCCAAAGGTAACTGAAACTCGTGAACAAGCAGAAGAACTTAAGCCAGTTGATGAAGTGTTGAAATCTTCACTGCTGGTAAACGCAATGCTTGAAAAGGCAAACGACGTTTCTGAAAATGAGGACAAAGACGATGGTGACGATTGGGAAGAAGTTCAACCAATTGAAAAAGAAGCACCTGCAATTGTAACTCCTAAAGCTGCAACCCCCGAAGTTGAAACTCCAAAGGTTGAGACTCCTAAAGCTGCAACTCCTAAAGCTGCAACACCTAAAGTTGAAACACCCAAAGTGGAAACTCCAAAATCTGAAGTTTCTCCTTCAAAGCCTGCTGTTGCAGAACCAGCAGCTCCCACCCCAGCTGCTACCAAAACAGCAGGTGCTCCAACTCTTAAAAACATGGTAGAGAAGCTTCACACTCTTATTGAGAAACTTGAAAACCAAGTCACCACTTTGACCGAAGCCGGCTTGGAAAAGGACGAAAGGTTACACCGTTTGGAAGGTAAGATTGAAGAATTACTCAAGAAGTAAATTGTACTATTTAGACGTTAAGACAACAATGTAAAAAAAAAAGAAATAAAGACGAAATGAAAAACTTATATAAATGAAAAACCTATATAAAAAATTCTATGAAATACCTATATACTTGAACTGTAAAAATACACTTTTATTTATATTAACCTATTCATTAATTAATATTTGTACAGAGTGGTTATGAAGAAAAATCTTTGGTTAAGGAAACACCGAAGACTGCCGTTACTTTCAATAAAGTAATCCATTAAATTCTTTATATCACAAGTAACTTTTCCAAAGTGACATCCATTAAACGTCAAGTTTAGGCGGCCCCCTGTATCCCCAGATCTGTGATTTGATCTGTATTCATGTAGTTACATACCTATGTCTATCATATAAGGTTGAGTCCATGAAACTCTTCCTATGTCAAAAACAGAAACTAAGGTCAATCCACTAAATTGAACAGTAGCTTGATATGTACCAATCATGAAATTTCATTTTATAGTTCCAATCTTACAAAACTCATTCTTCTCCAATACTAGGTTTAGTAGCAAGCTCAGGTATCAGCATGGTAGAACTTTCTGAATATAAAAGCCATAAGAGCTTGAGCATCAAAGCTGACCATACCATCAAACAAATCCAAGGTAGCCATTCCCTCATACTGTAAGTTTAGAAGTTGGTCCAATGTTACCATGTTCACCGCTCCTGGAATGCTAACACTTCCAGAGGCTGCCTCAATGGTAAATTTACCAACCTCGTTACAACTGAACATGAAATCAAGTTTAGATGATGACAGAAGTGATTTCCCACTGTGGTAGTCTTTTATAATCCCCTGATCCAATAACTTTTTCAGAGAATACTTGTAAGAACCAAATTTAGGAAGTCTATTTGTTTTACGTAACTCACGCTGGTAGAAATACTGCTTTGAAAATACTGGAAGTATGGACAAGAATTTCTTTTTATCCTTTGGCTTCAGCTGCAATTGCTCCAAGATATGCTCTACATGGCGATTGTAGTCCTGAAGTTGCTTTCTTAAGAATGAAGACTTGTGAGAAAGTTTCCTTTGCAGTTCAAATGCGATTTCCATTTGCTGTTTTCTTGATAACCTTTGTTGATGTTTAGTTTTGATGTCAATTGCGATCTCATTCAAAAGATCTTGGTAGGAATTTTTACGAGTGAGTTTACCCTCAGATTCCAATTTAAGAATAATCTCAAGTGCCATACGTTTCAAATCACGATAGGAAATTTGAGTCAAATCACCAAGAGAAGTCTTGTAATATGGGCGTTTAGATTGGTCAGCCATCGAGTTGGCAGACTTCTCCAGGGATACTATCTGCTTAAATGCATCCTCGTGCTTGGGGGAAATTCCAGAAATCAAAAGCTCCAATAATCCGGGACCATCCTGAATTCTTATAATATACAAAAGACTCCGTTTTGCTTGGGAGAAAAGGATCTTAGATTTTGAATCTTGAATTGAATCCTCTTGAGTAGTTGGATTTAATGATAGCGTTACGTGTCCCAATTCTGCAAGTGCGATAAGATCTTTCGTAGATGATTCCGTCAAGTTCTCAATTTTATCCAAAAGTATATGAAGTGGGTCATCTTGTTCTGGTCCCGCAACTCCAATATTATCTTTAATTAATTTTGCAATTTTGATCATGTCATGTACCTTTACTGTTAGCTGTGGTCTGTCATGTGAGACAACATCATCATACTGATTCATATCATAAGCATTATCCAACTCACCTACATCAATAATTTGTCTTATAGTAGTTGCAGTTGAATCAAAGCAGGTAGTTAAATGCTCATTAAGTGGTTTTAAAAAGTTATCGTTAAATGGCTTAAGGGAGAATGCTTGCAAAATACATCTGTTTAAATGCTTCAAGTTTTCACGAGAGCGTAAGATCGTTGTCGCCGAGAATCCTGTTCCTTGATGAAGCAATCCAAAATTTTCAGGATGAGATAAGATGATACCAAGGTAATGTTTTGCAAAAACTACACCTGCTACCGCCAAATGTTGCTGTTCCAGCTTTTCAGGGAAATTTAATTTGGACAAATCGTAAACTTGTCTGCAGACAATCTTGACATGGAGTGGAATACGGTGAATAGCCCTTGAAATGATATCCAAACTCTCTGTTGTAAATTCTCTTAAGCTCATCAAGTTTTCCACAAATTTAGCACTAACTTCAGGATCTTTGATGGTAACTTGAGGAGGAGGTACTTCTTTCAATCTACCATCCCTTTTCTCTGCAAATTTTCTGTAAATCTCAGAAGGATTAGATTCAAAGTCAATATAATCATCATCCAAGATGTCAGTGGTTATCTTACCCATAATCTGTTTCAAATTTTGACGTTGGAAAGTGTAGTTGTTTAATTTTAAGAAATATTCTATCCAATGAGTTTTTGGTTGCTTTGTTATGTCACTGATTGCTTTGCTCTTATTCATATCAGCTTGCATATGCGCAAGAGTCAACTTTACCAAGAAATACTCTTCTCTCGAATGGTGGTCAATAGAGGAATCTTTAAGAGGGTATAAACAAGAAACCAAATTAGCTACTGTATCGTTACCGCCTAGAGCCTCACTAGCAGCCGAAGAGCATCTTACTAAGTATTGAGGATTGGTTTGGATTAAGTAAAACAACTTTTGATACAACTCCAATCTTTCTCTGCTACTTTTTTCTAAAGTTTTATCGTTGACTGATGCTTCATCAATTCCACCTATTCTGCTTGATACTTTATACTTGTTTTTGTGCTTAACAAATTCATCAACACTGATCTTATTTCTGTCCAATAAACTTAATTTGATATCCAAGTTCTCTATCTGTTGTTCAATTTCTTCGTTATTCTTAGCCAAGTCAATTATTTGATCTTTTAACTCAGTGAGAGTCATTTCCTCTTGATAGTCAATATCATTGTCGGTAAGTAAATATGCAAATTTTTTTATTACCAGAAGTGGGGGAGACTTCATGTTAAGTAAACCTTTATATGCAGCTTGAGCATACTTACTCTTTATGATTGCCTGCGCTTTGATTACCGCATCAATATTCCTATGGTAATATTCATACGTCGTTCTTATTCGATTTCTAGAGCTGGCACCTCTAATTATGGATTGTAATTGAATGAAACTATCAATATCTTGGTATAGATCTTCCATTTGAACTTCTTTCAGGAACCTAACCAAAATCCCTCTGAAAATGGATTGAATGGGTATGAAAACTGGTGAAGATAAATGGTGTATGACTTGTTTCTTTTGGTACACTTCATTTCTAACTCTATTACCCCTGACCTTTGCAAAAAGCTCGTTAAATGTATAGTCTTCGTCAATTAATGTGATCAAGACACTATTACAAAGCTTTGTTCTAGCAATGGCACCCCTCCCAATGGATTGAAGTTCATGTACAGTTGTCAACAGCTTATATAATTTAAGTCTTGTTTCTTTCAACTGATTTTTTATGAATTTTTGTCGAATGACCGATTGAAATCTGATCATTGTATTGATAGTTTTTGAATTTTTAATTGAGTTAGTAATTTGAAATCTCTTAAAGATAAATGAACGGCAGCAAGTTTGAAATTCAACAAACTTCCCAAGCATGAATGGATCATTATTTACTTCCATTAATTTCATGGTACGAGGATGAATTAAAGATGTTCTTAAAATTGACTGAAATGGTATGATTGAACTTTGCTTCTGCTCCTGAAGATCAAATAATTGTGAACGAATTTTCAGTCTAATGGAACCTGCTCTAATAACAGATTGCAATTCAAGCAATGGCTTACCATACAATTCCAAATTAACCAACTTTCTCTTCAATAACGTCTTTCTTGCACTCAGCTGCAAGTGGATAATTTCCTTTTTAAAGAACAAAAGTTCAGTTCTGTGTTCGTGAACAGTCTTAGAGCGAGACAAATTACCCCTAATAATCGAAACAAAATGTGTAAGTTCTTCATCAAAAGATCTGAGCATTATTCTGTCTACAAACATCGAGTATCTAAAATTACACCCTCTGGCAAGTGCTTGAAGTTTGATAATATTGGCATGCAGATCTGAGACTGGACCCTGTTGGATTGGTTCTGGGACATATCTAGACTCGATGAATGGGTTGTCAAGTTCAGATATTGCTTGCTCAGGTTCAGGTGTAGCTTGGGGTTCAGGCTCTTTTACAGTTTCCCTTTCTATTTGAAACCTAGGTGGCAGTTCAAACTTTGGCAGTTCATACTTTGGCAGTTGGTATCTCTTAGGCAGTTCTGGAAGTGGTCTAACTGGCAGCATAACCACATCCAAATAACTGCTACTACCTTCGTTATCTACATCAGCGAAGTTAGGTAAACCAGACCCAACTAAACTTCTTTGAGCCAATTTTACATCTTCTTCGCTGAAGTCACACCTTCCTACTAAGTTTTCTACCAGTGGAAGAGTTGAGTCACTTTTACCAATGGTATAACTCAATGCATGGATGCAGAACCATACCTTGGGTACGTTTTTGGCATCATATAAGTCAGTCAATTCAAATCTGAATAGGTCCGGAACGTTCATGTAGTCCAATAATTGGAAGAACCTATTAATATTTTCAGTGTGCTTGAATTGGAGTTTGGAGTCCTGTGTGAAGACCTTACGAGTATTTGGAAGTATTAAATTGGAAAGCTTAGCTAAATGAATCCCGTTTCGGATATAATTTATAAGTTCTGCTGGACTTTGAGTGATTTCTTCTTGAAGAATAATTTCCAACCAATTCTTCAACGCCTGAATACGACAGAGGTATTCGTAACCTGTCAGCAGGGCCAGTGGCAGTTGTACTATAGAATTGGAATCGCTTGGCTTACCAATTTCCTTTTTCAAAGGTGATAACCTATTAGCATTTGTAGTCGTCTTGCTACCTAGATTTCTCATCCACATTGGCTTACCGTTATCTATGTTACTATCAGCAGACCCCAGCGAGGGACTACTGTCTACATTTTTACGTTTAAAGCTTGAAATTGTCGCACTAGGGCTGTCGAATCTAATAGGACTCAATGTATTAGCCCCTTCACCTCTACCTTTCAACGGAGAGATGTTTGCATTTAATTCGGATTCCAATTCATCTAGATCCCCACCATTGGACTTTCGCGATTTGATAGGCGATGAATTGTACTTAGAAGTTGGCTGTAATGGGTATCTAGGCGATGAATCAACAGAGTCTAATGACTCCAAATACCTCAATGCCACGTTATTCTTCATTTAGTGCCTTAATTCTAGCCAAAAAAGATAGCTATTCTCCTGTTGAGTCTCTCTTCTCTTCCTTCTGACAGTGATAAATATTTTGTTTGATGTCTCACTTGTTGCTCATTCTTAGTCTTAGATATTCTGTAACGATGCTTCCTAATTGGGATAGAATGTAAATATAAGAAACAGACATAAACGAAAAACAAAAATAAATAAACAATAAAGATGTGTGGGAAGCGGAATTTTCACCTCAAGAGAAATACACCACGTACAGGACCATATCATCTCTTATGTAGTGAGTGATCACATAGTAATGGTTGCAAAAGGGTGCGAGGAATTCGCGACCGTACTACAGTGAGATATGAAAAATGAGTATGCGTGTTAGATCATAATTAGCCAGCTATATAAAATCTATTCTATTAATGAAATGCGCTGATGATTGAAAAGGAAGTAGCCAGTACGCCTTCTCAGGTATATGGAGCCCAGATGACGCCCAGATGAGGGA